GATGATCACTCTGACAGAGCTCCAGAGTTCCTCTGTGGAGATGGGAGAACCTTCCAGAAGGACAACCATCTCTGCAGCACTCCACCAATCAGGCCTTTATGGTAGAGTGGCCAGACGAAAGCCACTCCTCAGTAAAAGGCACATGACAGACCACTTGGAGTTTGCCAAAAGGCACTTAAAGGACTCTCAGACCATGATAAACAAGATTCTCTGGTCTGACGAAACCAAGATTGAAGTCTTTGGCCTGAATGCCAAGCGTTAGGTCTGGAGGAAACCTGGCACCATCCCTACGGTGAAGCATGGTGGTGGCAGCATCATGCTGTGTGGATGTTTTTCAGCGGCAGGGACTGGGAGACTAGTCAGGATCGAGGGAAAGATGAACGGAGCAAAGTATAGAGAGATCCTTGATGAAAACCTGCTCCAGAGTGCTCAGGACCTCAGATTGGGGCGAAGGTTCACCTTCCAACAGGACAATGACCCTAAGCACACAGCCAAGACAATGCAGGAGTGGCTTCGGGACAAGTCTCTGAATGCCCATCCTATCATCTTTTCCCTCTGCTAAATCCTTCTCCCTGCGATCTCCTGATTCTGCCTCCTCAACCCTCCTCTCCTCCCTTTCTGCATCTTTTGACTCTCTATGTCCCCTATCCTCACCTGCTCCGTGGCTTGACGACTCATTGCGAGCTCACAGAACAGGGCTCCGGGCAGCCGAGCGGAAATGGAGGAAAACTAGACTCCCTGCGGACCTGTCATCTTTTCACTCCCTCCTCTCTACATTTTCTTCCTCTGTTTCTGCTGCTAAAGCCACTTTCTACCACTCTAAATTTCAAGCCTCTGCCTCTAACCCTAGGAAGCTCTTTGCCACCTTCTCCTCCCTGCTGAATCCTCCTCCTCTCTCTCCTTCCTCTCTGTGGATGACTTTGTCAACCATTTTGAAAAGAAGATTGACGACATCCGATCCTCATTTATTAAGTCAAATGACACCGCTGGTCCTGCTCACACTGCCCTACCCAATGCTTTGACTTCCTTCTCCCCTCTCTCTCCAGATGAAATCTTGAGACTTGTGACGGCCGGCCGCCCAACAACCTGCCCACTTGACCCTATCCCCTCCTCTCTTCTCCAGACCATTTCCAGAGACCTTCTCCCTTACCTCACCTCGCTCATCAACTCATCCTTGACCACTGGCTATGTCCCTTCCGTCTTCAAGAGAGCGAGAGTTGCACCCCTCCTCAAAAAACCTACACTCGATCCCTCCGATGTCAACAACTACAGATCAGTATCCCTTCTTTCTTTTCTCTCCAGAACTCTTGAGAGTGACATCACTAGACAACTTTCCTGCTATCTCTCTCAGAATGACCTTCTTGATCCAAACCAGTCAAGTTTCAAGACTGGTCATTCAACTGAGACTGCTCTTCTCTGTGTCACGGAGGCTCTCCGCACTGCTAAAGCTAACTCTCTCTCCGCTGCTCTTATCCTTCTAGACCTATCTGCTGCCTTTGATACTGTGAACCATCAGATCCTCCTCTCCACCCTCTCCGAGTTGGGCATCTCCGGCGCTGCTCACTCTTGGATTGCGTCCTACCTGACAGGTCGCTCCTACCAGGTGGCGTGGCGAGAATCTGTCTCCGCACCACGTGCTCTCACCACTGGTGTCCCCCAGGGCTCAGTTCTAGGCCCTCTCCTATTCTATCTATACACCAAGTCACTTGGCTCTGTCATATCCTCACATGGTCTCTCCTATCATTGCTATGCAGACGACACACAATTAATTTTCTCCTTTCCCCCTTCTGATAACCAGATGGCGAATCGCATCTCTGCATGTCTGGCGGACATATCAGTGTGGATGTCGGATCACCACCTCAAGCTGAACCTCGGCAAGACGGAGCTGCTCTTCCTCCCGGGGAAGGACTGCCCGCTCCATGATCTCGGCATCACGGTTGACAACTCCATTGTTTCCTCCTCCCAGAGTACAAGGAACCTTGGCGTGACCCTGGACAACACCCTGTCGTTCTCCGCTAACATCAAAGCGGTGACCCGATCCTGCAGGTTCATGCTCTATAACATTTGCAGAGTACAACCCTACCTTACACAGAAAGCGGCACAGGTCCTAATCCAGGCACTTGTCATCTCCCGTCTGGATTACTGCAACTCGCTGTTGGCTGGGCTCCCTGCCTGTGCCATTAAACCCCTACAACTTATCCAGAACGCTGCAGCCCGTCTGGTGTTCAACCTTCCCAAGTTCTCTCATGTCACCCCGCTCCTCCGCACACTCCACTGGCTTCCAGTCAAAGCTCGCATCTACTACAAAACCATGGTGCTTGCCTACGGAGCTGTGAGGGCAACGGCACCTCCTTACCTGCAGGCTTTGATCAGACCCTACACCCAAACGAGGGCACTACGTTCATCCACCTCTGGCCTGCTAGCCCCCCTACCTCTACGGAAGCACAGTTCCCGCTCAGCCCAGTCAAAGCTATTCGCTGCTCTGGCACCCCAATGGTGGAACAAGCTCCCCCACGACGCGAGGACAGCGGAGTCACTGACCACCTTCCGGAGACACTTGAAACCCTACCTCTTTAAGGAATACCTGGAATAGTATAACAGTAATCCTTCTACAACAAAAGACCAGACGGCTTGGGTAGCAACCCTAGATTTGTGTAGGGACTATATCTTGTGGAAGTATGAAATAGTATGAATAAATTCATCAAAATAACGTTTTTAATGAAAATATGTAAATCATTATTTGAATATGTTGGTAACCCGTTGCATAAAAGTGATAATGCCCTCGAAGTCGGTGTTTGGAGGATATATTGGCAGGGTAACAGCACCCTTGCCAATATATCGTCCAGACACAGGCTTCTTGGGCATTATCACTTAAATGTAGCCTTAATGCCTACACTCTTAAACTCTTGATGGTTGCTAGACAGCGCCCTTTACTACTATCATCCTGGTAGTTCTAAACTTTGCCAGGAATGTCACTTCACCCATCTCTTCGCATAACCCACCACTATTTTCTTAATCACAAGTGGATGGATCCATAAAGAATTACTGTGGGAATAAATATCACTGAATGACAAAAATATTGTAATAAAGTAGGCTAATGCAATTGAAGGCATCCAATTGTTGTTTACTGAAACCCCAATGTCATCCAATTGTTATAATACATTTGATTGAAGCAATACCCTACCCACATGTGGTCAACTATTTCAGCACCGTTTTGCTCTGCTTTGAGACAAGCTTGGGGTCTTGATAAATCAATGTCAGATTTTTTTTATCTCACTGAATCTCCTTTTGGTTATTAGGCTGGGGAAATGTTAGCTAAATTGAGCTGAGTGGTGCTAATGATCATCTTGTCTAGTTGGCTCATTTATTAGCACTGATCAGAACATTTTGCCAGCATGTTATGTAGATTAACAAGTGGATTATTTTGCTCTTCACTCAAAGTTGTTTAGTAGCCTAGCCTAGACCAAAAGCCTGTGACTTGTCTTAATCAATCAATGTGATTATATTTCACTGAATCTCCATCTGTATATTTGGTTAATTGTCTGGCTGGACAAATAAGTGGAGGTGGTATAGCTCATATATTCGTTGTCTCATCTATCACTGATCAGAAACATTTAGCACGCAATAATGTAGCCTAAATCCCGTGTAGGCCTATTATTTTGCTCGATCGCGTATAAGCAACCCCAAAAGCCCACGGAGGGTGTTCAAATGCTTTTGCAAATGATGAAGATACTCTGAATGTAAGACCCTACGCCTGCTCCCTAACAAAGCAGAGTAAGGGTAGGAAAGAGATGAAACTTGGATTAAAAAAGCATGGGCTTGCCTTGGGCTCTGTTTCAAAATATCACCTTTTTTTTTTATATGACAGGGGTTCCACATGTTGTTGCCATAATGCAAGTGTGGTTGTGTGGGAAAAATATTATTTGTATTTTATTCTGTTATATTTAATTATATTCTTAGCCTACTATATAATGTGTGTTGACTGTGTGTCTAGTCTGTTTAATGAACAAAATAACTATTGATTTAATGTGCATGCCGCAGCCATATACACTGCATAGATTAGTAACATAATTAAACTCAAAATATGCCATTCTATTCTTTTGAAAATACATTTTAGTCTTATGTTTCTTAGGACCTGCCTAAACGAATTAATAATGGATTTATTGAAATAGATGCCCTCCCACATCTGCACACCACTACTACCACTCGTTCCTGGCATGCCAGCATGTGCACAGGAGGTATAAAAGGTGTATGCAGGCGAGAATGTGGTAAAAATGGGCTTGTTTGTAAAAGGATCATATAAACATTGCCCAATTGTTTTTACAGGCCAAATACCTTAAATCTTATGTGAAAGCAGTATATGATTAATTTGCTCCCATTGGAAACGACAGGCTGTGGTCTATCTTAGGTCAGTTATAAAACATCTTTGGCATTACCTTTTTGGTTATTACTGTATTTATGGCCCAACCCATTGGTATCTGGGACCAATCAGACGGTCCGAATGTATTCGCGTTCTATAAATCCCTAGGAGTAAAATCCAGACTCATTGCAGAGAAGAAACAAACCTTCGTGTGTGTGGCTTTTGGCCGGAGAAATGAGTCTGGATAGCCAGGTAAGTATTTCAATACATTAGTTCATTAATATAACCAAACATGTATACAGTTTTCCAGTTATGTTATTGCTTAAGTAAATGTATGAGGATTAAGGACCACTATTGTAATGATTTCCTTTATTAAGATCTCGTTATATAGGCCTGCTATTTGCTCAACACAGATTGCAGCAGCAAATATACCATTCTAATACAGGCATAGTTGGCAAGGATATTTTGCAGTCATTTTAGGGCACATAAATAAATCAATATTGTAAATCACAATAACAGTGGAGTGAATGTGTTTCTTTGGCTGTTTAATCCTGCCCTCTAGAGGCTGGAACCTTCCACTACCCTCCTATTGGGCCTATAAACCACACGATAGGCCTAAACCAGAGTACATATACAGTTACATTTTAGTCATTTAGCAGATGCAATCAGTGCATAGGCAAAACAACCACATATCACAATCATTGCAAGGAAGACAGAACCATCTAGGTCAGGAGGATGAGAGAGCAGACTATCTTCAGATATGGCTGAGAGGGGACATCTCTGTGCTCTCTACTTGTGTTTGTTGCCGAGGCTGTGTACGTTGTCTTCGACTGACATTTCCCAGGAACCCCTGCCAGCTCCTCTCTGTAGAGAAAAAGGAGATTCAAATGTTTAACTGTATGCATGCCAAAATGACTGATACAGTATATTAATGTCGATATACACTCAGTGGCCAGTTTATTAGGTAAACCACCCCATTCATGACAATGGTTTGCTTCTACAGACAGTGAGTCACGTGGCCGTGGCTTGCTATATGAAGCAGGCATTGAGGCATTCCGTTAATGTTCGATTGAACATTAGAATGGGCAAAACGAGTGACCTAATCGACTTTGAGCGTGGTATGATCGTCGGTGCCTGGCGCACCGGTTCCAGTATCTCAGAAACGGACGCCCTCTTGGACTATTTACACACGACAGTGTCTAGGGTTTACTGAGAATGGTGCGACAAACAAAAAACATCCAGTCAGCGCCAGTCCTGTGTGCGAAAACAGCTCGTTGATGAGAGGTCGAAGGAGAATGGCAAGAATCATGCAAGCTAACAGGCAGGCCACAAACAGGCAAATAACGGCGCAGTACAACAGTGGTGTACAGAACGGCATCTCGGAACGCACAACTCGTCGGTCCTTGTCACGGATGGCCTATTGCAGCAGACGACCACACCGGGTTCCACTTCTATCAGCTAAAAACAAGTTGGACCACCAACACTGGACAATTGAGGAGTGGAAAAACATTGCCTGTTCTGACGAATCACGGTTCCTGTTGTGTCATGCTGATGGCAGAGTCAGGATTTGGCGTAAGCAGCATAAGTCCATGGCCCCATCCTGCCTGGTGTCAACAGTACACCTGGTGTCTGGTGGCGGTGGTGTACGTTTTCCTGGCACACGTTAAGTCCCTTGATACCAATTGAGCAACGTTTGAATGCCACACCTTGTAGAATCCATGCCCTGAAGAATTCAGGGGGGTCCGACCCGGTACTAGATGGGTGTACCTACATTTGAATAGTACTGATTTGGACAGAAGAATATTATGTGATTCAGAAGCTGTAAAAATGCCTCCAAACCATAAACTCAAATAGTTTCTCTCTCCCCACACACACACACTCACACACACACACACACACACACACACACACACACACACACTAGGCCTATACCTCTGCCTAGCGTTCGGCTACTGTGTGTAGGGGACAGCCTGGCCGTATCTCCGCACCCTGGATCCTCATTGATTATGCCCAGGTTGGTGTTCCATTTATTCCAGTTGACTTCCTCCACTCTGAGACCAGACAGACAGACAAACAGACAGACAGACACATGCTCCAATTACTGTCCCTGAGTGTATGACACATCCATCAGCTGTCACAGAAAGCAGATCAATGATGCAGCACACCGTGTACCAGGCTGTGGTGCTGCTGTGCACAACGGCAGTGCATTCAGTCATTTAATTCTAGACACACAATCACACAGCTGTGGTTGTATGAGGGGCTTGAAATGATATTTTCCTGATATGATGGGTTCATGTCGAAATGGGTTAGTGTTGGGAATGATTGTCATGTTATTGATGTTGGAAGCAATCAAATCTATAGAATTCATCCTTTATTTTGTATGTTATCCAATAGGAATGTACAGGTATGTTCACATGTACTTTTGTCTGATACAACCAGGTTGTGATGTCTGAAATAATGAATCTATTCTCTCATCATTGATTCAACATCTACAGTATGTAAATAAATTGGCCACCTGAAGCACCATCGGCGGTCTTTCTCTCCAGCCCTGGTCCCCAGGTCCTTGTCCACCCCAGAACGAAGCCTCCTTCTCAAGCAGCGGGGCAGGCTCCTCTCCAGGTCCAGGATGGTGATGGCCCGCTGTAGACACACAGATGTTCATTACAATGAATGAGTTAAGACCAAACTATCCACAAAAACAAACAACACATTAGTGCCATTTCCCTGCGTCAGTCAGTTCGTCTATCTGTCCGTCAGTCAATCCGTGGTGGATCACCTGTAGTTTCCAGATGCTGGTGCTCTCCAGGGACATCTTCTCCACAGTGCGGCTCATGAGGGCGATGAGCATGTTGAGCAGCAGGATGTAGGTGAGCACGATGTAGGAGATTAGCAGCATGTAAAACACTTCCTTGTACTGGTATCTAGAAAAAAACACATTCCTTATTGCCTAAATAACTCCCACTTCTCCACCATGATAGCTAGTACAGTATATGGCATTGTTTAGCTGATGTGTGGTGAGCTTTCTGGCGCAAAAATGGCTGCCTTGGCATCACTGAGGTGGGTGCTAGAGATTAGTGGATAAGGTTGAGGAGAGTGCCCCTCCCTTCTATCTAAAGAGCCTTTTAGCATCTGGAAAATCAATTATTACCCCTCTGTGAACTCCAGGTCTCCCATGCCAATGGTGAACTTGAACAGCTCCATGATGGTGTGAGAGATGTTCCTGAAGGTGGGTTTCGTACACGAATCCTCCCCAGTGGGAGGGAAAAAGGTACGAACTTTTCCACCTGTGCTGTTTATTGGCTTTGCTGTATTATTGGCTGGCAATTCAGGTTCCATTAGCAAAGTGACCACCGCTGTGGAGGGACAGAGAATGCTTTATTACAGTCCATTGACAGAGTTTTTCTATATATATATATATATATATATATATATATACACAGTGGGGAGAACAAGTATTTGATACACTGCCGATTTTGCAGGTTTTCCTACTTACAAAGCATGTAGAGGTCTGTAATTTTTATCATAGGTACACTTCAACTGTGAGAGACGGAATCAAAAATCCAGAAAATCACATTGTATGATTTTTAAGTAATTAATTTGCATTTTATTGCATGACATAAGTATTTGATACATCAGAAAAGCAGAACTTAATATTTGACACAGAAACCTTTGTTTGCAATTACAGAGATCATACGTTTCCTGTAGGTCTTGACCAGGTTTGCACACACTGCAGCAGGGATTTTGGCCCACTCCTCCATACAGACCTTCTCCAGATCCTTCAGGTTTCGGGGCTGTCGCTGGGCAATACAGACTTTCAGCTCCCTCCAAAGATTTTCTATTGGGTTCAGGTCTGGGGACTGGCTAGGCCACTCCAGGACCATGAGATGCTTCTTACGGAGCCACTCCTTAGTTGCCCTGGCTGTGTGTTTCGGATCGTTGTCATGCTGGAAGACCCAGCCACGACCCATCTTCAATGCTCTTACTGAGGGAAGGAGGTTGTTGGCCAAGATCTCGTGATACATGGCCCCATCCATCCTCTCCTCAATACGGTGCAGTCGTCCTGTCCCCTTTGCAGAAAAGCATCCCCAAAGAATGATGTTTCCACCTCCATGCTTCACAGTTGGGATGGTGTTCTTGGGGTTGTACTCATCCTTCTTCTTCCTCCAAACACGGCGAGTGGAGTTTAGACCAAAAAGCTCTATTTTTGTCTCATCAGACCACATGACCTTCTCCCATTCCTCCTCTGGATCATCCAGATGGTCATTGGCAAACTTCAGACGGGCCTGGACATGCGCTGGCTTGAGCAGGGGGACCTTGCGTGCGCTGCAGGATTTTAATCCATGACGGCATAGTGTGTTACTAATGGCTTTCTTTGAGACTGTGGTCCCAGCTCTCTTCAGGTCATTGACCAGGTCCTGACGTGTAGTTCTGGGCTGATCCCTCACCTTCCTCATGATCATTGATGCCCCACAAGGTGAGATCTTGCATGGAGCCCCAGACCGAGGGTGATTGACCGTCATCTTGAACTTCTTCAATTTTCTAATAATTGCGCCAACAGTTGTTGCCTTCTCACCAAGCTGCATGCCTATTGTCCTGTAGCCCATCCCAGCCTTGTGCAGGTCTACAATTTTATCCCTGATGTCCTTACACAGCTCTCTGGTCTTGGCCAATGTGGAGAGGTTGGAGTCTCTTTGATTGAGTGTGTGGACATGTGTCTTTTATACAGGTAACGAGTTCAAACAGGTGCAGTTAATACAGGTAATGAGTGGAGAACAGGAGGGCTTCTTAAAGAAAAACTAACCGGTCTGTGAGAGCCGGAATTCTTACTGGTTGGTAGGTGATCAAATACTTATGTCATGCAATAAAATGCAAATTAATTACTTAAAAATCATACAATGTGATTTTCTGGATTTTTGTTTTAGATTCCATCTCTCACAGTTGAAGTGTACCTATGATAAAACAATTACAGACCTCTACATGCTTTGTAAGTAGGAAAACCTGCAAAATCGGCAGTGTATCAAATATTTTTGATACAATATGAGTTTATACTCATATTGTTTGTTTATACTCTCAATTGTTTTCAGTGGTTTAGAAGTGTCACTGTACGAGGGAACTGTCATCTGCAATTTTGATAGGTCTTTTGATGATGTTAGAAGAATAAACAAATTCATGAGCCACTGACAGGCTGTGTTTGTGTCCCTGCGTGCAAAATTGACAGAAGAAAGATGAAATACCTGCTGAAAACCCAATGAGGAAGGTAACGTAGACAAAGAGAAAGCGCAAGATATCACTTAGGATCATCTACAAAGGGAAAAAAAGACAGAGTAAGAAAGAGAGTATCAAAGGAACTGTGGATTATAACTACAGCTCGGTCATAACACCAATGTTGTGCCAATGGTAGATACCCTGTGGCAATGAATCCTATAGCTTCTCTGTAAGAGTGTCACAGGGCCTGTATTCTAGAGTCTTAGTGTAGGAGAGCTGATCTAGGATCTGGTCCCTCCTGTACATAGAATTGTATTCAATATGATCTAAAAGGCAAGTGATCGTATATCAGCACTCGTACTCAGAGACTCTTTGTGAAAACAAGCCCTGGTATCCTGTATACCTTCTGTATCATGACACTGTAGATGCCCATGTGTCTGTATCCCCTGGAGAAGTAGAGCAGGTTGACCCAGCTGAGAGCCAGACACAGCACAAAAAAACCCAGGTACTCCTCCCTACCACAGCAGTACAGCACTGAGGAGGCCAGGAAGAAGATCGCCTGCAGAAAACTACACACAAAGGCAACTTGAAGTCAAGTGTTTCATCAACTCACTGCGGAAGAGAGTTGGAATCACAGAGAGATAACCTCTGACACTAGTGAAACACTAACTTCCTACACACACACATGCATAGAGCTGCCAAGAAACATTATCAACATGATTTAGAAAAACGTATCCTAAGATGTCAGGATAAAAGATAGCCTAGCACTGTGTTGGACTGCTCTGACTTCAGCATGTTATTATACAGTGTGTACCAGTAGGAGTGTGTGTGTCTAGCCCACAAGCTTGCAAGGCATTCTGAAAGATGTGGTGTTGTCCTTATTAGAACTTCTTCTAATCCCTTAGTTATTGTTAAAGTATCTAATGTTATTACGTTCAATGCAGGGGCAGCTGATACATAATCTATCAAATAATTAGTGTGTGTGGAGAGATTTTGTATGATTTACAAAAGGATTTCACTGTATCCGTCAATCAGCAAAGTGTCCAGGCTTGGACGTTTTCTCTTCAAGTCTAATATCTTGGGATAGAAAAAGAAAACATTTGATAAACCGCACTTTTGAATACAGTTTTATTAAATGATATTTCAAACATTTAGGCCGGGATTCAATCCAATCGCGCTTGTAGACAACACAGCTTTTACAGGCAATCGTACCGCGTTAATGGAGATCGCATTCAAGGAATGTCGGCTCAATTAGAAAATACCTTTAAATGTCAAGCGCGCTATAACACGTATGTAGCGCGGATCGGAATTAATCCCGGCCTTAATTCAAATTTAATCAAAGCACATCACACATGCACACATACCCCTCCTACGAAGAAATAGAAGGCTCCCGCTGCTGTAAAAAGCTGCCCGGCGAGTCGCAGGTACTCCTGTCTGGTATGCTCCAGAGTAAAAGGTGGCTGGATATCAGTGGGTGAGAGAAGAAATTGAGCTGAAGTTAAAATAACTCTCATTGGACAGCACTTTGGCAACACTTTGGGCGGCAGGTAGCCTAGTGGTTAGAGCGTTGGCCCAGTAACCGAAAGGTTGCTGGTTTCGAATACCTGAGCCATCAAGGTGACACATCTGTCGATGTGTCCTTGAGCAAGGCATTTAACCCTAATTTGCTCCAGGGGCGCCGTACTACAATGGCTGACCCTGTAAAACAACACATTTCACTGCACCTATATGTGACAATAAAAAAACTAATAATAAATAATAATTTGATCTCCTCTATAGCTGAATGATGTTAGCATGGATCCAAACTTAATTGCTTCGGATCCATCCAGGCTAGAATAATGTAGCTTATTGTGATAATGCAAAGACCTCACCGTTCCTTTCTTCCTGTTGTAGGCGATAGCAGTGAAGACCGAGAGGTAAACCAGGTAAACCAGGAAGTTGAAGAAAAACATCCGAGCTGCGAACTTGTCCCACTTCTCCTCCAGTAGCCTGTTCAGAGGCTCAATCTGCAGCATCTCATGGCGATTCTGAAATTATATTTGATAATATTTATATAATATAGCCACACTTTTATGCTAGTAGATCTATCTTTTAGTCTTTCTCTCTTTAGAGGGAGGCAGGGCTTTCTCCTATAGATCTCCATTTTTATGGAACAGTCTGCCTACCCATGTGAGAGACGCAGACTCGGTCTCAACCTTTAAGTCTTTACTGAAGACTTATCTCTTCAGTAGGTCATATGATTGAGTGTAGTCTGGCCCAGGAGTGTGAAGGTGAACGGAAAGGCTGGAGCAACGAACAGCCCTTGCTGTCTCTGCCAGGCCGGTTCCCCTCTCCACTGGGGTTCTCTGCCTCTAACCCTGTTGCAGGGCCTGAGTCACTGGCTTGCTGGTGCTCTTTCATGCCGTCCCTGGGAGGGGTGCGTCACTTGAGTGGGTTGAGTTACTGACGTGATCTTCCTGTCTGGGTTGGCGCCCCCCCCTTGGTTTGTGCTGTGGTGGAGACCTCTGTGGGCTATACTCGGCCTTGTCTCAGGATTGTAAGTTGGTGGTTGGGGATATCCCTCTAGTGGTGCGGGGGCTGTGCTTTGGCGGAGTGGGTGGGGTTATATCCTTCCTGTTTGGCCCTGTCCGGGGGTTTCTTCGGATGGGGCCACAGTGTCTCCGGACCGCTCCTGTCTCAGCCTCCAGTATTTATGCTGCAGTAGTTTATGTGTCGGGGGGCTGGGGTTAGTTGGTTATACCTGGAGTACTTCTCCTGTCTTATCCAGTGTCCTGTGTGAATTTAAGTATGCTCTCTCTAATTCTCTCGTTCTCTCTTTCTCTCTGAGAACCTGAGCCCTAGGACCATACGTCAGGACTACCGGGCATGATGACACCTTGCTGTCCCCAGTCCGCCTGGCCTTGCTGCTATTCCAGTTTCAACTGTTCTGCCTGCGGCTACGAAACCCCTACCTGTCCCAGACCTGCTGTTTTCAACTCTAAATGATCGGCTATGAAAAGCCAACTGAGAGACCTGAGCCCTAGGACCATACGTCGGGACTACCGGCCGTGGTGACTCCTTGCTGTCCCCAGTCCGCCTGGCCTTGCTGCTATTCCAGTTTAAACTGTTCTGCCTGCGGTTATGGAACCCCTACCTGTCCCAGACCTGCTGTTTTAAACTCTAATGATCGGCTATGAAAAGCCAACTGAGATTTATTCCTGATTATTATTTGACCATGCTTGTCACTTATGAACATTTTTGAACATCTTGGCATGGTTCTGTTATAATCTCCACCCGGCACAGCCAGAAGAGGACTGGCCACCCCTCATAGCCTGGTTCCTCTCTAGGTTTCTTCCTAGGTTTTGCCTTTCTAGGGAGTTTTTCCTAGCCACCGTGCTTCTACACCTGCATTACTAGCTGTTTGGGGTTTTAGGCTGGGTTTCTGTACAGCACTTCGAGATATTAGCTGATGTAAGAAGGGCTATATAAAATAAAATTGATTGATTGATTGATAGAGACACACACAGAGAGGTTGGAGCACAGCTGCACAGGGTCAATCACAGTGCAGCACTCATGGAGCAGTTTAGGGGTTAAGTGCCTTGCTCAAGGGCACAACAGCAGGAAATGGCATCTAGAGCCCCATTTATACCTGGTGCAAACATGAGTCCTTCCTAATGTTGTCCATATTCTGATTAGTCAGTGCTATCCGGGCTCCTTGGGACGTCCATACTCTAAACCCTTACCCTAACCTTAACCCCTACCCTTACCCTAACCATAACCCTTACCTAACCCTAACCTTAACCCTTAGCTTAACCATTTAAAATGTCAACTGCAATGGGGTAGAGATGTCCCAAGCATCCCGGATAGCACGGACCCATTCTGATTGTGCCCATATTCTTTAGACAGGTGTAGATGGTTAAGATGCTCATCCCCAGAATCTTTTTACGTGTCTATTTTCAAAGGATAAAGCTAAGAACATTAATAACTTCATAGTTAAGAACACTAAAGCAATATGGAAGAAAATGAAACGTATTCTACAAGAACCAATATCACTCCCTAAAAACACAACCCTATGGAACAATCCTTGGATAGCTTTCCAGAATTCACCGATAAATTGGACCACATGGAAAACTAAAGGCATAGAAACTGTAAATTACTTGGTAATAGGAAATACATGTATTTACATTACAGCTTTAAAAAGCAATATTTTCAAAGACATGCAATTTAAAAGTGTTATATCACAGAATCTTTTGGACATCAGAGCAATCTTGCGGGAATCCTATTTGAGTCAGAAAAGGATATTCACATGATAGGTAAACTATACAAAACCTTGCAGAGAGCCTATCCAACTGACAACCTCTTAGAAAAATATATAAACTATTGGAACCAAGACATAAAAATAACTGATATTGTTGGAACATAACTAACAAGATTACAGTTAACAAAAAGTTATGCTTAATCCAGTATAAATTAATTTATAGAATGTATTTATATTGAGACAAAATTCACAAATTCTACAGCACAAAGGCAGAGTCATGTCTGAAATTTAAAACTAATAATGACTCAATAATCCATGCCTTCTGGGAATGTTAGAAAGTCCAAAAGTTATGGGCGGAGTTAGAAAGTTGGCTTTCAGAAGTATTACAATGTAAATGTACTTTTAATCCATCAGTCTGTATATTTCAAGACATGGCATATGAGGGGGTGCAGTGAGATACCCAATGCGTTGGACGATACTTCACTCGTCAATCATCTTTAAAAAACATATACTTAAAAAGTGGAAATCAACCAATGCTCCGTCGTTACGCAATGGAAAGGTCAAATGCTTTATCTAAAAATTGAAAGTGCGTGGGCTATGGAGAGAAACAAAATGGTGCAGTTTGAGGTCATGTGGCATAGAGTGATGTGGGCCCTGGAGATGGGGGTGTGTGCTAGTGGGTCAGGGCAGGTGTGATGTAGTTGATGTTTGTACGATGTTGTCGTTTGTATGTGTATGTTTTGTATTGTTTATAAAATATAAAATAAAATATAAACATATTTTTAAAAAGATGCATTTTGATCTGATTGTGATCTGATCTTCCTGACCACCTTCAGAGGTAGTCAGGCACATGTTATGTCTGGAAGTGTAGACGAATCTGGACAGTGAAACCATTTAAATGATCATTATCCAGCCCTCTAAAATCATTGACAGGTGGCACCATTGACTCAGGCCATCAATATTATGTGTCTTAAAATAAATAAATAAACAAATATTATTTTGAAAGAATACCTCTCAAATAATTTGCATAGAGGGAGGGATCAGCAAATTTGGTCACAATGCAGACACAGTGGACAGATGTGTAGACGCATGTCTGAAAATCTGGCCACAATCAGAATGTGGACAAGACCAGGACAAAGGTGGCATGTTAGCACTAGGTATAAACAGGGCTTATGATTTGCTCATTATTATATGAATGTGACTCACAGGCATGTCACTGCTGTAGACTATGATCTCCAGGACAGAGTTCTTCTCGTAGGAGTCCAGTGAGGCCAGGTCATACAGGGAGGAGTGGACGGGTCCGTAAACCCACTCAGTGAATTTACGGGACAGGTGTCTGGTCTCCCTCTTCTGGAATTCACGATGCATCATGTGCTTAAATAGCTAGAGGAGGAATACAACAATTGATTTACACGTAATGGAAGGATGTAGCAGATTATGATAAACACATATGGAGGAACAATGCATTTTCTTCGGACGTCTAACAGGAACAAAATATTACAATGAAGATGAGATTATATAATTTGGAAACAACAAACTGTTGATCTGTTCTCCAGAAGGTCTTTAGTGGGCCGATCACCATTACAACATCACTCCGTATTGGACTCCTCCTTTACCCCGATTTTGCCAGTCTTGGCAGCCAGTTTTATAGTCGTCAGGCCCTGGTTGTTCTCTATGTCCTCCAGCCTCCATTTGGGGTGCAGGCGGGCAGCCGTGGTGAGTATGTAGTCGTACATAGAGGTGATGAAGTCAGTGTTCTCTGGTGTGTTATCAGCCACCACCACCAGGGCATGCAGCACCATGTTACCCAGGGAATCCTTCTCCCTCACGTCCACACGCTGGTAGGCGTTCTCCAGCAGGAAGTCCACCACCTCAGGCTGGTTGGTGCACGCAGCCAGGGACAGAGGCAGCTCACCTATAAATACATTTGCCCTCAATTCAATGTCCTTTCTATTACCCTACCCACCACAACAGTGACAACTGTGTTCCCTTAGTTATAAAGAAGGGAATGATTATTCTCAGAGGGATGACTAGACGCCTGACAAGCAGAAGAGTGTTGTCAAACCTACCAGAGAAGGATACTGTTCAAGGCTCAGTGATACTGACACACTCACCAAAGTAGAAGCTGGGTCCATCATGGAGCTGGAAGAATTTCCCACAGGCTTTGGCATGGACGTTTGCTCCTTTCTTGATCAATAGCTCAACAAAATAGGTGCTCCTTCTCTCAATGGCAATATGAAGGGCTGTTTGGCCTATTTGATCCGTAGATACAAAGGATAGACTATCAGAAAATGCATGGCCTTACATACAGTGCCTCCGGAAAGTATTCAGATCCCTTGACCTTTTCCACATTTGGTATTTTCTATGTTTTTATTTCAAGTCAGGTAAGAACAAATTCTTAGTTACAATGATGGCCTGTTAGGTTACGGCCTTATTCTAAAATTGATTAAATTGTTTTTTTCCCTCATCAATCTACACACATTACCCCATAATGACAAAGCAAAAACAGGTGTTTATATAATTTTGCTAATTTATATTTAAAAATATATATATATCACATTTATACAAGTATTTAGACCCTTTACTCATTACTTTGTTGAAGCACCTTTGGCAGCGATTACAGCCTCAAGTCTTCTTGGGTATGACGCTACACGCTTGGCACACTTGTATTTGGGGAGTTTCTCCAATTCTTCTGTGCAGATCCTCTCAAGCTCTGTCAGGTTGGATGGGGAGCGTTGCTGCACAGCTATTTTCAGGTCTCTCCAGAGATGTTCGATCGGGTTCAAGTCCTGGCTGGGCCACTCAAGGACATTCAGAGAGGGATGGATGCCAGGTTTCCTCCAGACGTGACGTTTGGCATTCAGGCCAAAGAGTTCAATCTTGGTTTCATCAGACCAGATAATCTTGTTTCTCGTGGTCTGAGAGTCCTTAGGTGCCTTTTGGCAAACTCCAAGCGGGCTGTCATGTGCCTTTTACTGAGGAGTGGCTTCCGTCTGGCCACTCTACCATAAAGGCCTGATTGGTGGAGTGCTGCAGAGATGGTTGTCCTTCTGGAAGGTTCTCCCATCTCCACAGAGGAACTCTAGAGCTCTGTCAGAGTGACCATCAGGTTCTTGGTCACCTCCCTGACCAATGCCCTTCTCCCCCGATTGCTCAGTTTGGCCAGGCGGCCAGCTCTAGGAAGAGTCTTGGTGGTTCCAAACTTCTTCCATTTAAGAATGATGGAGGCCACTGTGTTCTTGGGGATCTTCAAAGCTGCATAATTTTTTTGGTAACCTTCCCCAGATCTGTGCCTCGACACAATCCTGTCTCTGAGCTCTACGGACAATTCCTTCGACCTCATGGCTTGGTTTTTGCTCTGACATGCACTGTCAACTGTGGGACCTTATATAGCCTTTCCAAATTTCCATTTCCATTTTAGTCATTTAGCAGACGCTCTTATCCAGAGCAATTAGGGTTAAGTGCCTTGCTCAAGGGCACATCGACAGATTTTTCACCTAGTCTCTGGGATGAGAACCAGCAACCTTTCAGGTACTGGCACAACGCTCTTAACCACTAAGCTACCTGCCGCGCAAATCATGTCCAATCAATTGAATTTACCACAGGTGGACTGCAATCAAGTTGTAGAAACATCTCAAGGATGATCAATGGAAACAGAATGCACCTGAGCTCATTTTCGAGTCTCATATCAAAGGGTCTGAATACTTATGTAAATTAGGTATTTCTGTTTTTTTTTTTTTTATACATTTGCAAAACTTTCTAAAAACCTGTTTTCGCTTTGTCATTATGGGATATTGTGTGTAAATTGCTGAGGATTATTATTTTTTAAATCCATTTTAGAATAAGGCGTAACAAAATGTGGGAAAAGTCAAGGGGTCTGAATACTTTCCGAAGGCACTGTATACACTTACATGACCGTATTTGTATGTTACATTGGTTGAGGGCTGTGTACATAAAACTGAGTTTTAGAGGCATGTGTGGAATAAATGAACAACATCAAGTAATGATAATTCTGGTTATATGAAAGTTCACCTTTGTAATAGCTGTCTGTGTATGCAGCATTTACAAATTCCTTGATGTCCCCCATCTTCTCTGAGATGTCAAGGAGATATTCAATTGTGTTATTTCTGCCGTTTCTCAGATTCAGTAGAGCCTTCAGCAAGACATTTTTACCATACGATTGATCTAGGAGAGCAAGAGGTGAAAGAATGGGGTATAAAGTAATACACTTGAGGGTCAGCGTTAGTGTTACAGCTATAGGTACAATGTATTACCACTCTAGGGTTAGGGGTAGGGTTGAGGTTAGGGTTAGAGTTGAACTGGGACATGGACATGAAGTTAAAGTTAGGATGGATGCTAGTGTTAGGGTTTAACTGGAATGTGGACATGAAGCTAGGGTTAAGGTTGGATTGGGGTGCGGGCATGAACCTAGGGATAGGGTTAGGGTAATGGCTAGAGTTAGAGTTGAGCCAGGGTGTGGACTTTAAGCTAGCGTTAGGTTTAGGGTAATGGCTAGAGTTAGGGTTGAGCTGGGGTGTGAACATTAAGCTAGGGTTAGATTTAGGGTTTGGGTTAAGCCGGGGTATGGACATGAAGCTAGGGTTAAGGTTGAGCCAGTGTGTGGACATGAAGGTAGGGTTAGGTTAATGGCTAGTGTCATGACTCTCCCTGGGTGAGGATCAAAGGCCTCACATCAGCTTGGCAAATGGCCGACAACAACCAGACCATCTTACCCACAGGGGGGCTGTTCTGGTCTTGACACCTTAATACTGCCATAAATTAGAGATGAGAATCTATATCTGGCACTCCAGAATGGTGAAAGTGATGCCTTTGTTTCAGATACTTTTTGCTGCCCAAAAACTTCAACATCCAACAATGAACATTGGGACAATATATTTCAACATCCAAACGTTGGGAATGATGAGAAATGGAATATGGAAAATTAATGTATATTTTGTGATGTCATTAAAAATGGTATGAAGGCGTTATAATGAAAACATTGTGACTTGAAGAGCTTTTACATTGTGTATATCAGGTTTACATCCAATATGTTGTGTAGAAAATATCAAGGAGGAAGACAATGTTTTCGTGAAGATAGGAATGTGATTTTAGCTTTCTAACAAAATCATAGTGATGATAATACTTTTGCCTCGTAACTAGCCACACCCGAGGGAGCTCAGAGAGCATGTCAGTACGACGGAAACGGCCCTCTTTACCAGAGTGTATAAAAGATTGAGATAAGAAATATCAGATCAGACTAGACGGACCTCAAGCTGCAGCTTTCGTCCATATTGGTCCCGACCCTGAAAATCAACACGAGGTGAAGACGACAAAGTTGCCTCCACTAACAATCAATGTTACGGCTGAGTAGCTGTTCTAAGTACTGTATCTAAGAAGGTGAATTTAAGTGGGACCATCATGTTACTCTCTTCAAGCCATCATCTGCTACACTGCTCTCATCACCCCACAGGGAATCATCGACACGGCTGATTAGCCATCCTCAGAAGACCACTTCCAGAACAAGTGAAAGTAAACAGACAACTAAGAAGAAGGACATTGTGACCTCTTGTGGACAATATGAGCCTTACATCTAAAAGGCCATCCAAAAGAGAAGGCCCAATCAACCCTTTCCCACGAAGGCCTGGGTCCAACAGAGATACACAACGAAGACCTCCAACACGTAAATACATGCATTGCTTTTCTTCCCAAACGGGCGGCAGTTCGGGGCAAAGTATTAGGATTACTGTGAGCATAGGTCCATGTGTATCCAAGTGTTTTCTCTCTCTCTCTCTCTCTCGCTTTAACTCGCCATCTTTTGTAACAAGTGTCATATTGTGTTAGTCCGCTAAGGACCGGTTTTCATTGTATTACGTTTCTAATCCCTACCTATACCGTGTACGTGTTTGTATCTTGTGTTATCCAATTTGTAAGTCGCTTTGGATAAGCGCGTCTGCTAAATGACGTAAATGTAATGTAAATGTTATCATTTTTAATTAGTTAGTAAATAAATAATGAAATCAATTTGTGTGGTACGGAATGATCAGTAAGACCCGGGTTCGTGCAGACTTAAAGAGCCTACGACTTTCAGAGCCTACGACTTTCAGAATGAGATTGATATTAGGTAAATGATTAATAAATGACTGTTAAATGATAAGAGATATCTAGATATCTTTAGAGTTAATTCGGAAACGGTAACTCGTTAAACAACTTTTCCCGTGGTGCCCCAAACTCCTAATGAGTTAATTGTTACATGATTAATTTAATCTAGTAACAATTAAACATAGTAGGTCATTATTCGATAAATAATAGTCATCACAATAATGAAAGTCACGTCACGACACTAGGTTTTGGGTTGAGCCAGGGTGTGGACATCAAGCTAGGGTTAGGGTAATGGGTAGGGTTAGGATTGATTCGAGGTGTGGACATGAAGCTAAGGTTAGGGTTAGTTTACAATACTCATTACGCTATAATAACACAAGTAGTTACACAGCAATAATAGCACTGTAATGTAAAGTGTTACCCTAAAATGCTACAATTATACAATACTATATACTGTAACGCATAGTCCCCCTCACACTCAGTGTTGGAGAGCTTCTTCTTGGACTGATGCAAGTACTGATGCAGCCCCTCCAGCTTCATGACATCACCAGTGGACACGGCCTCAAACAGCCTCTTGATGTCAAACCTCTTGCTGTCCCTCTCCTCTTTGTTCTCCTCCAAACCTCGTACTTTCCTACAAAGAAAAATATGTTCGACTTTAGTATTGGGAAAGCATTTCTTCTTCAATTGGAAACAAAAAACTAATGGTCTTTCCCAAAAGGGCTTCAAAACAAAGACCTTATTCGCATGTTATATTGTAAATGAACTTCTGATTAACAAAACCGCCTCCCTGAGGGAAGACAGCTGTGTCTTCTCAAACAGTATTAACAATGTTATTAGTGTGACTTAGCCCTACAATCAGGCTTTAAACACCATTTGTCTCCATACAGTACAATATGTGATATTATATTCAGTGAATGTGCTGTCTCACTTGTCAAAATTGAGATTGAATCTGATCTTGGGAGCAGCCTCCTCCAGCTCCTCCTGGTAGTCTGAGTCCATGGGGGCTTTGGGCCCCCCCGAACTGCCCATGCCTAGGGCAGACACCAGCCGGTCAGGCTTCTTCACCTGTCTGCTCTGTGCCCTCTCATCATCCGTCCTGTCATCCGTCTCCAGAGAGAAGGAAGGGTACTCTGGGCCCTTAGACTTGCTCATAATGACTCCTCAGACTGGACGTCTAGAGGAGGAGTTACAGTGATATCACATCATAGTCATGTAAATACAGTATGTTCAGTATATCATAAATCCCCTGAGAGGATTGACAAATTCTAATTGAATTGAATTTTTCTGCAGTGAGGGACTGCATTCATGGTTCTCTTCCTGAGTTTTGGCATGATCAAATATTGCTTGGTCTTACACATTTTAATAACTTGACATTGACTTTACAATTTCCTCCATTTATCTAGATCCTCTGAAACATAATAAGAGAGTTGACCTCTGAATACACCAGCTTTTAGACATGTGATGTTTCACCCCCAGGGGGCTAACAAAGCTGGTTATTTATTAGCACTTCCCCATGACAACTGTAACTAATACAAAACTCTATCCAGGCCTGGAACCCTTTCTTTACTTAAATAACTGAAAAAACATTCCCAGACAGTTCAGCTGAAAATTAGGACAGCCATTACTGAGACACAATGTAAATAATCTAAATTATCTTCAAGAGAAGCTGATCCGAATGAATCATTATTATGGGGATTTAAATGATTTCTCCTAAAAAGGATGGCATGAGAATTGACTTGTTTTGCTATTTCCCTGTAGATGCCCTAGAAAATAGGAAGGGGGTTGACAGTGACTCAGAGTGAAACTCTGAAGTCTTCTCTGCCTACCATGAGGGGAACAACACGTAAGGAACATCTAGATCTATCTCATTCTCATCAAATATTTTCGTTTATGATACCCTTGAGACAAATGAATGAAATAATACAGAACTGTGTTACTAGGGGCTACAGCATTCTGAAAACAAATAATCTAATGCTCAACATTAGTCACGTTTTTTTTTTTTGCATATTGTTATTCTGCTGATCCATTACTGTAAAACAAATTAGTGTAACCTCAGGTCCATTTGCATGGCACCACACACGCTCAGTGTAAAACAGTGTGCAGCACGTGAACAATGTCTCATATCCACTCTATGAGATCATGTCTGTATGCATAATTGATGTCGGCATTTTGCTGTCACTTGACGTACATTATAGATCCTCATCTACTCATCTAATGCTGCTGGAACCATTGGGGCTCAAGATGGCTTCTTCCTCTCAGACAAGAAAGGCTATTTTCTGATGCGGTGTCATATGATTAAAAACCCCTCCCTACTTACAAAAAAACTAAACCACAGTGTCTACCAACTGTAGCACATAAACGATGAGATCTCTCCCACCACAACATATTGTCTGTTCCTCATTTGAACACATTATTGTTTTTCTTATGCTAATGGAGCATTTTCACATTAACTGCAGTATAGCTGAAACTCAGGCTGAATAATCTATTGCTGGGCTTGTTTTATTCTGCTCTGATAGTCTTTATGTAACGGTGTACATTTGAATTGTCCTCATGTGCAGACCTTGTTTAAAAACGACTAGACTGGTAGACAATGACATCATGGATCATCATGGAAACAAAGCAATTTTAGAATCACAGTTTCAGACACATCTAACTAATAACTAGCATGCAAACATGCAAAACCAAACAGTGAGCAATTGTAATTTGGTTATATTCAGGTGTCTGCTAGTAGCCTGCCCTACAGTACAGTTTCTCACAGTGATCTCATGCACAACATGTCGACAGGAGTGAATGTTTACAGTTTGGAGAGAATTCAGTTATAGCAATAGAAGAACTGAACCCTGCCACATAAACAAAGCAAATGCAAAGCCATCATCAACACCTGCTTATAATTCAACAATTCAAATATGGACATGAAACCATTTGGGACCTGAAGGTCTAACATACAGATAACTGTACTTACACAGAGATGAATTAATTCCTTCCACGCAAGTAGAAAGATAATTTCACAGAGTGCTCTGTTGGATCACATTTTCTCTTATGTCTCTGTCTATCATATCATCCTTATATTAAATAAACATCTTAAATACACAACCGCAAGACAATTCAACCTCTATGGACAGAGGGTGTGTGTGTATGTTTGAATCTTACTCACTACTACTGTGAGTAGTAGGGAGGGATGCTATGGATAAAGCGATGGGGATGAGCTTGGAGAGCAGAGCGAGAGTCAGATGCAGAAAGATAGTTAGAGCCTATCCCCAGGGAGTATCAGAGCACATTACCACCAGAGAGAGCTCTGCTCTGAGAGCTTAAAAGGCTACATGGCTGACCTTAGGTGTTATTGACCCGGCCTCTGTAGCACTGCTGAGAGAGCAATGATAAAGTGACCAGGAGATGCACAAAGGATCTAAGCTAATTCTTATGAATGTTGACAAATAACTGATTTAATGTAAAGGTGTTTTGTTAACATTATATTCAAAAGTAAATGCACATCAGTTTAGCCATTGGCTCTTATTTACTGTATGCATAAGAACCATATGTATACTATATCCCTATTGATAGAAACATAGAATACCACATACATACATTGATAAGGTGTTGAACCAACATTCTTAGTAAATCCTCAACGTTTGCATACACACATATTCAGTGCACACAATGGCATGGTAAAATTCTCCATTTCACAATCTCTGCTTCAAAAGTAAGTTCCAGTATCCTGACTTGCCCCTTGTTGTACAACATTATGTTGCAAATTCTTAAAGCCAAAATATCATCCCCTTCTCATTACTTCACACATTGAGTAGCCTACAACATTTTCCACAGCTGATCAGAGGTTTTCTAATATCCTCATAAGACCTAATGGTACTGTGTAGTTAGTTAGAGGCACAGGCATCTATCTTCTTGAATACGGTATATGTCATAACAATGTAATAACACAAACATTGATTTTTAATCTAATCGTACATAATTACATATTATCAGATGATACATTACTTACTTATTGTTTTGAATGTGTCTCTTGTCACAAGGGGCTTCCTTCTCCTTTTATATAACATTCAATTCAGTAAGCGTTTCTTCTTCTTTCTTTCAGAACAACTTTGCAGAGCTTCCTGAGTGCCTGCCTTCTCTCAGATCTGCTGTTGGTGAGTCTGTTCCTGTGACTAACATTGTGGTCGGAAAAAAACTTGTCTTGTGAGATTAGACTTATATACTGTAGTTAGAGCGATCAACAAACGTTATGACTTCTTTTACATGCTATGATTTTACATTTACATTTACATTTACGTCATTTAGCAGACGCTCTTATCCAGAGCGACTTACAAATTGGTGCATTCACCCTATAGCCAGTGGGATAACCACTTTACAATGTATTTTTATTTTTATTTTTTATTTTTTTATATTTTTTTTTTGGGGGGGGGGGTAGAAGGATTACTTTATCCTATCCCAGGTATTCCTTAAAGAGGTGGGGTTTCAAATGTCTCCGGAAGGTGGTGAGTGACTCCGCTGTCCTGGCGTCGTGAGGGAGCTTGTTCCACCATTGGGGTGCCAGAGCAGCGAACAGTTTTGACTGGGCTGAGCGGGAACTATGCTTCCGCAGAGGAAGGGGAGCCAGCAGGCCAGAGGTGGATGAACGCAATGCCCTCGTTTGGGTGTAGGGACTGATCAGAGCCTGAAGGTACGGAGGTGCCGTTCGCCTCACTGCTCCATAGGCAAGCACCATGGTCTTGTAACGGATGCGAGCTTCAACTGGAAGCCAGTGGAGTGTGCGGAGGAGGGGGGTGACGTGAGAGAACTTGGGAAGGTTGAACACCAGACGGGCTGCGGCATTCTGGATGAGTTGTAGGGGTTTAATGGCACAGGCAGGGAGCCCAGCCAACAGCGAGTTGCAGTAATCCAGACGGGAGATGACAAGTGCCTGGATTAGGACCTGTGCCGCTTCCTGTGTAAGGCAGGGTCGTACTCTCCGAATGTTGTAGAGCATGAACCTGCAGGATCGGGTCACCGCCTTGATGTTAGCGGAGAACGACAGGGTGTTGTCCAGGGTCACGCCAAGGCTCTTCGCACTCTGGGAGGAGGACACAACGGAGTTGTCAACCGTGATGGCGAGATCATGGAACGGGCAGTCCTTCCCCGGGAGGAAGAGCAGCTCCGTCTTGCCAGGGTTCAGCTTGAGGTGGTGATCCGTCATCCATACTGATGCCAGACATGCAGAGATGCGATTCACCACCTGGTTATCAGAAGGGGGAAAGGAGAAGATTAGTTGTGTATCGTCAGCGTAGCAATGATAGGAGAGGCCATGTGAGGATATGACAGAGCCAAGTGACTTGGTGTATAGGGAGAAAAGGAGAGGGCCTAGAACTGAGCCCTGGGGGACACCAGTGGTGAGAGCACGTGGTGCGGAGACAGCTTCTCGCCACGCCACTTGGTAGGAGCGACCAGTCAGGTAGGACGCAATCCAGGAGTGAGCCGCGCCGGAGATGCCCAGCTCGGAGAGGGTGGAGAGGAGGATCTGATGGTTCACAGTATCAAAGGCAGCAGACAGGTCTAGAAGGACAAGAGCAGAGGAGAGAGAGTTAGCTTTAGCAGTGCGGAGAGCCTCCGTGACACAGAGAAGAGCAGTCTCAGTTGAATGACCAGTCCTGAAACCTGACTGGTTTGGATCAAGAAGGTCATTCTGAGAGAGATAGCAAGAGAGTTGGCTAAAGACGGCACGCTCAATAGTTTTGGAAAGAAAAGAAAGAAGGGATACTGGTCTGTAGTTGTTGACATCAGTGGGATCGAGTGTTGGTTTTTTGAGAAGGGGTGCAACTCTCGCTCTCTTGAAGACGGAAGGGACATAGCCAGCGGTCAAGGATGAGTTGATCAGCGAGGTGAGGTAGGGGAGAAGGTCACCGGAGATGGTCTGGAGAAGAGAGGAGGGGATGGGGTCAAGCGGGCAGGTTGTTGGGCGGCCTGCAGTCACTAGTCGCAAGATTTTATGTGGCAAAGAGCTTCCTAGGGTTAGAGGCAGATGCTTGGAATTATGATAACATAACAATTTAATCATTTAGTAAAAACAGCATTAAATAGTTGTAATCATTATAAATGATAGTTGTAATAATCAACAATACTAAAATCTTACAGATTGAATGATTGTTAATAACAAGCTAGCAGTAGCAGAACAATGTTTTAGTTAAAATGTCAAGTTCACTAATGCAAACATGTCAAATACAGTACATTATTTTACTGTAGTTAACTATGTCCTACATTAGCACTTACTGTAGGCCTAATTTAACTTTTAGTTCGTACTATAAATGTGAGACATCATTTTAATTGGAGATTGCACAATGAATTTCTAATAGTATTCGTTCATAAACATTTCTGAGGATATCACTGGATAGTAAAAGAAGCATGATGTTGATTGTAATAGTCACTGTTAGCCATTTAGAAAAAATACAGTTCAAGTATTCAAATATTCAAGTAAACAAATAGGCATGTCCCTCTGTGTGTGAATTTATAACTCACAGTCTGTCATGAAAGACCATAGCCACACCCACAGCTGAGTCCACATCCTGCCCGTATTCCACAGGTAGAGGAAACACCCTCTTTGCTTCCTGTCTGAGCACCGCGTTATGGGAAAAGGCACTCCCGCTGCCCATTATCCTTTGCACTCCGGCCTCCAGCAGGAAGACAGGGTGCATCATGGAGGTGATATTGTCTAGAACGCCCCAGCACACCGCTCTGGTCATGTGGCCTAGGGAGAGGTTAGAGGGGTGTATTTTTTACACCTGGCCCAGGCTGAGCGGGTCGTGTATTTCCCCCAGGATGGTTGGACTCCAAGGGCACATCTGATCAGCTTCTCATACATGTTGGAGTCTCTCACCTCCACCTCTATAGGTAAAAACATGAAATAGGTGTAATGACTCAGTAGCTCTATCTCTCATGGACTTAACAGGATTTAACATGCCTTCTGTAAGTGACACAAACTTACAGGGTTTGTGACTAAGTCAGTGACAGTATGTGAATGTTTATGAATCAATTGACCTAGCTCATTCATCCAGCCACTCAGCATGCCTACAAGAGTAGCGACCACATTTCCTCCATTGAGCGATGCTGCCACCACCAAGTAGGAGCCATCAAAGTAGAGGAGGTAGGAGATGGAGGAGGTGGGATCAGGGATATTTGGCGGAGTGAAGTCAAGTGGCATGGCATAGGTCAGCTGGGCTGAAGTGCTTATATTGAGAACTGCAAATAGGGATAGAAATAGTTAGCTCAGTATAATCAATGATCAAGTTGTGAATTCTAACCAACCCCTAGCCCCTACCATTAGCATTTAGGCACTCCTGTAGATCTGAAAGATGGATAGGTGTAAGCACAGAATGCTTAGTTTTCCACCTAGCCTATTAGAAAGTGTAAGGTGGAGCTATTACTATATAACTTAAACCTATCCAATCCTCATTCAGCAATACTATTGACATTCAAAGGTCAGACCACCCCTCTTCCCCAGGATTCACCTGCATCTGTCCAGTCAGTCATGCAGGAGTAGACAGAACACTGGAAGTCCCCCAGGGCTGCCCCTACAGGTGTGTTGGCGTGGACGCCATGCCACTCACAGCACGTCTGACCAGCCATGCAGCCAGATGGCACACACTCAGGGAGCAGGTGCACGGGAAAGCCAGCATCCTTCAGACTAGAGCATGCACACACACACAGATGCATGTTAGCTAACACACAACATAACACAACACATCCATTCATATTATGTTCAGTATGTAGTATGTCAGTAATAACAACCTTCTGTACTAAAATATAATTAGTGCTAGAAGAAGAAGATGAAGATGAAGAAGAAGAAGAAGAAGAAGAAGAAGAAGAAGAAGAAGAAGAAGAAGAAGAAGAAGAAGACCAGGATATTGTGCTCACATATCTATGTTCCACTGGTTGGTGGCAATGTTGAAGTAGCCCCAGCTGGCTGCATTCTGGCCAGTCATCATGGCACAGCTCTCCGAACCACTAAGCATGGACACCACATATTCATGGTTGGTTCCTGCCACAGTGAAGTCAGACAGGAACCCCGGCCTGCATTCAAATGCAGTGAAAAGCAGAATGTCAAGCTTTCTGAATCTATCAGTATATATATCAATCAATCAATAAACTGTATTTATAAAGACCTTTTTACAAGCCCCGTGTAGCTCAGTTGGTAGAGCATGGTGCTTGCAACGCCCGGGTTGTGGTTTCGATTCCCACGGGGGGCCAGTATGAAAAATAATAATAAACGCTCTGGATAAGCGTCTGCTAAATGACTAAAATGTACATCAGCAGATGTCACAAAGTGCTATACAGAAACCCAGCCTATAGTAAACTCCTGCACATAGGATACAGTGCCTTGCAAAAGTATCCCACTCCCTTGGCGTTTTTCCTATTTTGTTGCATTACAACCTGTAATTTAAATGGATGTTTATTTGGATTTCATGTAATGGACATACACAAAATAGTCCAAATTGGTGAAGTGAAATGAAAAAAATAACTTGTTTCAAAAAATTATACAAAATAAATAACGGAAAAGTGGTGCGTGCATATGTATTCACCCCCTTTGCTATGAAGCCCGTAAATAAGATCTGGTGCAACCAATTACCTTCAGAAGTCAAATAATTAGTTAAATAAAGTCCACCTGTGTGCAATCTAAGTGTCACATGATCTGTCACATGATCTCAGTATGTTACGAACCCCGTGGCTTTAAACGTCTAGGGTGGATGGACATGAGACCCGTAACATAATTCATGCAAATTATAAGCGTGACATGGAACAGTGAGAACAAAAACTACATGACAACCATAAACTACCGTCAAACATAAAATATTTATTTTTGAACACACGGTAAAGGTTTGGGAAAAAGGGCTGAGCAGGACCCAAGAAATGAAACAATAGTGTAAAACACCCCTAAACTGATCTTGCCTGCCTCAAGAACCGCTAAGCTACTGCTAATCATACAAAAATACAGTGGGTGGTCCGCTCAGGTCTAACTAGTGTTTTTAGACAGTTTTCTTCCTACGGGTAATGTACACCCAAGGGCAACTTGCTTAAATTCCCCTTTTCCCAGAAACACACAAAGTTACCAAACAGAGTAACCAGCAAATGAGTGAGTACACAAAACACAGGACACCACAGTATCCATACTCGCATACGGAAATAGTCTCTCACAAAGTTACCAAACAGAGTAACCAGCAACTTAGTGAGTACACAAAACACAGGACACCACAGTATCCATACTCACATACGGAAAATAGTCTAACAAAGTTACCAAACAGAGTAACCAGCAACTTAGTGAGTACACAAAACACAGGACACCACAGTATCCATACTCGCATACGGAAATAGTCTCTCACAAAGTTACCAAACAGAGTAACCAGAAACTTAGTGAGTACACAAAACACAGGACACCACAGTATCCATACTCACATACGGAAATAGTCTCTCATAAAGTTACCAAACAGAGTAACCAGCAACTTAGTGAGTAAATAAAACACAGGACACCTGTGATTAGGGCAGAAGGAGAGGAAAAACACAAAAAGACACAGGATACCTGTATCCGTAACACAGTACATATACACCTTTTCTGAAAGGCCCCAGCTTCTGCAACACCACTAAGCAAGGGGCACCACCAAGCAAGCGGCACCATGAAGACCAAGGAGTTCTCCAAACAGGTCAGGGACGAAGTTGTGGAGAAGTACCGATCAGGGTTGGGTTATAAAAAATATCAGAAACTTTGAACATCCCACGGAGCACCATTAAATCCATTATTAAAAAATGGAAAGAATATGGCACCACAACAAACCAGCCAAGAGAGGGCCGCCCACCAAAACTCACGGACCAGGCAAGGAGGGCATTAATCAGAGAGGCAACAAAGAGACCAAAGATAACCCTGAAGGAGCTGCAAAGATACACAGCGGAGATTGGAGTATCTGTCCATTGGACTACTTTAAGCCATACACTCCACAGAGCTGGGTTTTACGGAAGAGTGGCCAGAAAAAAGCCATTGCTTAATGGCCCAAAAGCCATGTGGGAGACTCCCCAAACATATGGAAGAAGGTACTCTGGTCAGATGAGACTAAAATTGAGCTTTTGGGCCATTAAGGAAAATGGTATCTACAGTTGAAGTCGGAAGTTTACATACACTTAGGTTGGAGTCATTAAAACTTGTTTTTCAACCACTCCACAAATTTCTTGTTAACAAACTAGTTTTGGCAAGTCGGTTAGGACATCCACTTTGTGCATGACACAAGTAATTTTTCCAACAATTGTTTACAGACAGATTATTTCACTTATAATTCACTGTATCACAATTCCAGTGGGTCAGAAGTTTACATACACTAAGTTGACTGTGCCTTTAAACAGCTTGGAAAATTCCAGAAAATTATGTCATGGCTTTAGAAGTTTCTGATAGGCTAATTGACATAATTTGAGTCAATTGGAGGTGCACCTGTGGATGTATTTCAAGGCCTACCTTCAAACTCAGTGCCTCTTTAATTGACATCATGGGGAAATCAAAAGAAATCAGCCAAGACCTCCACAAGTCTGGTTCATCCTTGGGAACAATTTCCAAATGCCTGAAGGTACCACGTTCATCTGTACAAACAATAGTACGCAAGTATAAACACCATGGGACCACGCAGCCGTCATACCGCTCAGGAAGGAGACACGTTCTGTCTCCTAGAGATGAACGTACTTTGGTGCGAGAAGTGCAAATCAATCCCAGAACAACAGCAAAGGACCTTGTGAAGATGCTGGAGGATATAGGTACACAAGTATCTATATCCACAGTAAAACCAGTCCTAAATCGACATAACCTGAAAGGCCGCTCAGCAAGGAAGAAGCCACTGCTCCAAAACTGCCATAAAAAGCCAGAATACAGTTTGCAACTGCACATGGGGACAAAGATCATACCTTTTGGAGAAATATCCTCTGTTCTGATTAAACAAAAATAGAACTGTTTGGCCATAATGACTGTTATGTTTGGAAGAAAAAGGGGGTGCTTGCATGCCGTAGAACACCATCCGAACCGTGAAGCACGGGGGTGGCAGCATCATGCTGTGGGGGTGCTTTGCTGCAGGAGGGACTGGTGCACTTCACAAAATAGATGGCATCATGAGGAAGGAAATTGATGTGGATATCTTATCACATCAGTCAGGAAGTTAAAGCTTGGTCGCAAATGGGTCTTCCAAATGGACAATGACCCCAAGCATACTTCCAAAGTTGTGGCAAAATGGCTTAAGGACAACAAAGTCAAGGTATTGGAGTGACCATCACAAAGCCCTGACCTCAAACCTATAGAACATTTGTGGGCAGAACTGAAAAAGCATGTGCGAGCAAGGAGGCCTACAAACCTGACTCAGTTACACCAGCTCTGTCAGGAGGAATGGGCCAAAATTCGTTAAGCACGCTCAAGTTCAGTTTTTTGTTTGTTTCACAAGAAAAAATATTTTGCATCTTCAAAGTGGTAGGCATGTTGTGTAAAAAAATAAAAACAATTTCAATTCCAGGTTGTAAGGCAACAAAATATGAAAAATGCCAAGGGGGGTGAATACTTTTGCAAGCCACTGTAAGTGTGAACTGGGTGGAATAGACATGCTCTTATCCTACAGGTGCAATTATCAGGAGTCGACTGGCTGTATATGAAGTACACTTATTCCTCAAAATCAGCCCAGTCATGTAGGCATGATACTATCGGCCTATGTACATGTGTCTCATGTACCAGGAGATAGTGACACAACCAAAGCCCGTGGCTATGCTGAGATGTAAGTCTGGGTTTGGAAGAGTAGACAGAAAATGACTGTTGCAGCGCACATCCTGCCGGGTGATCAGCTGACTGGTGTCTCTAGGTCTGAAGAGCTGACCGCTGTCTCCACCTGACCAATCACAGCCTGAGGGTATACAGTGATTATAAAGGACTTGTTTGGAAAAAGAGACCTGTGATTTTCTATATAAAAAATCTATATCACATAGGCCTAATAGTGGGTGACACACTATTTATGACCAAAAAAAGGTTTTACCTGTTTGGGCTTTCCAGAATACAACCCCATGCATTTGTCCAGACACCCCAATTCTACTGACATTTTGGAGCTTGTCTCTAGGCAGAGATATGATGCACTCATTCAGATTTGTTATGATTTGTGCAGTGGGCTGCTCTTTGGCCTGCAAAGGAAAACCCAATCATATATTTTTTGAAGAAATCTATAAACAGGATTATGCACAATTTAAGATCAAATACACAGCAGTTTAAACTGCTAAAAAGGCTGAAACATTTAAATCTAGAATATTTTGTTGTTGTAAAATCCTTTGAGTGGCAGGTCGCCTAGCAGTTAAGAGTGTTGAGCCAGTAAACGAAAGGTTGCTGGTTCAAACCCCCGAGCTGACTATCTATCAATGTGCCCTTGAGCAAGGCACTTAACCCTAATTGCTCCTGTAAGTCGCTCTATATAAGAGCGTAAATGTACATCCATACAGTATGGACTTTTAAATTAATTATATATGCCCATTGATTCTTGAAGAATATAACTTATAAACGCCTCGTGAGCTTAGTTCAACTGTCGAACCCCATCAGAACCCCAAATATAAGCTTGTTTTATTCCTATATTTGTAAACAAACACTGTATGGCTTATAATTTTGATATCATGGATGTTCAGTCCTTGCATCCATAGTTCCATCTACGAATTTGACAGTAGTTACATTTCTCCAGGCCGATCTCTCAGTTTAAAAGAAACCCAAAACAGAGTGGGGTTCACCGCATTGTTATTGTTTCAAGGATTCTAGTTTTAAAAGAATAGCTCATTATGCACGGCGATCAGAGAGAGGCGCTGTCACATTCATACATGCGTTTCGTCGCTGATGATATCTGCCTTGGTTGGCAAAGATAAGCTATCCGTTACTGTTTTTGATCTAATATCAAGTAACACGACTTTGATTGAAGTAGTTCCTATATCTTTGCCCAGTACATAGTTCGCCATGGTTGGCTGCTTCTGCGATAGCATTAGGCTCCTTAGCCTATTAATTATTGTACGTTTTTTCCAGAGCCCATTGTTTGTAAACAGAGGGCGCTACTATTTTGATCTAAGGCAGACACCATAGACCAAAGTTCGTTTTGGTCAAAGGTCACAACACATAAATCTTAAAGATGTCACAAAATGTTAAAGTAATTGAATTAAAGAAAATGTGTAATTAAATGTAATAGATAAGCACATTCATCCATTCACTTCATCAAAAACGAGCAGTTGATACAAAAATAAAAGTCCCAGAATGCATTTCGCAAGAAAAAGGCCGATTCAGAATGACGGGTCGCATGGCTTTTGCCTCTGTGCTAGTTAGCTAGAATGTGCTTTATTTCTGTAATTACATTCCTGTAGTGAAGGTGTTAGTAAATCAATTGACACGGAATATTAAGTGTCACAAACTAGCTATGTGCTTTTGATGTGTTTGTGAAGTAAACGAAGCACTCTATAATTTTTCATTTGGTGAGTAAACCGCTTGCTATCTAACTTAGCAAGCTGCTAACGTTAGCTCCCAGTTTAGCTCCAGCTACAGTCAATATGTCAGCTGGCTATCCGGTTCGCTAGTGACAAACAGGCTTGCTTTATACAAGATTATGCAGAATTTGTACGATACCGTAAATTACGTATATGCAACAATGTAATCATTCAATATTATGTAATGTTTTTCTAATGCCCTCTTGTTTGCAGCAGCAGCTGTCATCGTTGGGAAACAAACAAGGAGGTGCCGAAATGGCCTCAGTCGTAGCAAAACGAGAAGGACCACAGTTCATCAGCGAGGTTGCTGTGAGGGGCAACGCCGCAGTACTGGACTACTGCCGGACGTCGGTGTCAGCTCTGTCGGGAGCGACAGCCGGCATCCTTGGGCTCACAGGACTGTACGGATTCATCTTCTATTTCCTCGCCTCGTTCCTCCTCTCCCTTCTTCTCATCATCAAGGCCAGTCGCAGGTGGAACAAGTGTTTCAAGTCTCGGAGGATGCTCTTTACCGGAGGGCTCGTTGGAGGTCTTTTTACCTATGTCCTGTTCTGGACTTTCCTCTACGGAATGGTGCATGTGTACTAATAAAATTGACCAGAATGATAAGCAAGTTTTAAACCTAACGTCATGCAAATCCAATTATATTGTCTAACTGCCCGCAAAATTATTTGTAGATATAGGCGATTTATTAAATACTTAGTTAGATTAACTGTTTATTATACAGCTATGTGAAGTATGTCTGTCAGCAACTCTATTGATACACTAATCAACTAAAACATGTCCTTCTTTCTCTCATTTACTGAACTGTTAACTGCTGCAGTATGTTATTGTTAATCTCTGCTCTATTGCATCTCTAGGATAACTGAATTGACCAAGTTTTCTCATCTAGCAGTTGATAAATATTATAATAAGCAAAGACGGGTAGTAGGCTACAGGGTGATGTGCCTGATGCAAAATAATTTTTCAAGTAGTGTAAATAGGATATAACAGCTCTGGTTGGATCCTTCAAAATAAATAACATCTCCATACAACCTGTTTGTACAATTTATTGATCATAAGATTTGTCAGACAAGTGATATGATTGTTCTAACAATGGCCATTAGCCCTAAAAATTCATTATCATACAATGTTTTGAATATAAAGTAAATACATTAAACAACTTGCCTCATACTCCTTTAGTTATGACTTTGTATAGACATTAAATGATAAGTATTTATGATAGACAACTCTCACGATATGTGGTGTTCCATAATATGACTCACAAGGATTTAATTGTACTACAAGCAGTCTAGGTGTGAAGAAACACCCCTGCCAGCATAATAACCTAGTTGAGCCCTCTGCCATGGTTTGATTGCATAGCCTAATTGACCCCTCAACAGATGCATTATGCTTAGATCTTGAACAAATAAATAAGACGTCAGAAATAGAATAGTGCTTTTTCCCTTTGATAAATATCTCGCTTCATAGAGCATCTGCATTGTCATTGCAGCAGTTAAGTGTAAGGAGAGCATTGCCATTTCTCTTTTCCAGCCCATAAGTCACCATGTCCAATCAGGACATGCATCACTCCTGAGAGATATTGGAAAACCAGAGCCATGTGTCAGCATCAGCAACCTCTGCTGGAAGAGGAGGAGGGTGGGCATCAGGATCAGCACCTCACCCACCCTCGTTTCACTTTCAACCTGCTACAGGACCCAGTCTAGCCGTCTTGACATTATCAGCACTTCTTTCTTTGTTTCAGGTCTCTCTTGAAAAACAGGTCTTCTGACCTCAATGGGACAACCTGTGTTAATAAAGGGTAAATAAAAATGTGTCTTGCCTTTTGGGAGCCCTAAGCGACAATGTATTATTATTTTTTAAATCCTGCAATTCTACACATTTTGCCTTGACTTATGCCATACCATTTATGTTCATACGATATCCGGGTGACTAAACAAAATCAATGGGGGCCTCCTGGAGGTAAGAGTCCCTGGAGATCAGGGCCCCTGGGCACGTTCCCTTCGAGCCCAGCAGGTAATTCAGCCTTGAAGGTTTAGATAGCTGGCTAGACTAACTTACCTAGCAATCTTATAAAATGTTAGCTGACATGGGCTGATAGAGTTACTGTCAGTGCCTGACATAACGAGAAGAACTGCTGATAAACTACCAAATTTTGAAATTGCACGTTGTCAAATTCAAATAAAAGTTTATTGGTTGTGTACACAAAGTTGTGTATTCTACTATGCTGTCTCAACAGTAAGTTGTCCTACACACAGCTTGTAGTCTGGTGTCTCACTCTGAATTAATCGTTAATCGGTTAGTGTCGTGGTCGTGGAGGGTGAGTATTATACCGTTGCCCCACAGTTCGCGGAGAGAGAATGTGAACCTCGTTTTTCTCCCCGGTTTTAAGGTCCTGTTTCTCCGCGTCCTGAGTGGTGGGCTCTGATTTCTCGTTTTTCGTAGAGAGCGTGGTGAGCTCGTGTTGTTCCCCAGCATGTTTCCTGTGTTTTCTTGTGTCTCGGTTGACCAATGTCTTCGCAATCTCTTTGTGCTTCTTGATCCGTTCTTTCCTGTTAAAGGGATGTTTTATTTGTTTTACTGACAGACAGAGAGAAGTAGCAAGGCAAACAATCCAAGACTGCAATTACTTACTTTAACTAAATAAACTACAAAGTGTAAATTCTGTAGTTAGTAGTAAAACCATGTCATAGTGTCTTACTTGAGAATCTCAAATTTCCTGTCTCGGTAGAAGGAACTCGTACTCAACATGTAGACAAATATCATATCACACGCAAATTTCCCCTGAAATAAACACAAAGCCCAAGTTTAAGTCAAGACATACAATAGAGTCACAGTAATCCTGATATAAATAAGGCCAATACCCTCAATAAAGCTTGAGGCAACTTAACAGGCCATAGCGAAAACAAAAAACAAAAAACACTAACTGTCCTGCAAGGGGATACGGATCGATTTGGAATTAAGAAGATTAGTACATTGTATGAAAAAGTATAGGGGATCGCCCTCTTGTGGTGATACAATGCATTCGGAAAGTATTCAGACCCTTTGACATTTTCCACATTTTGTTACGTTAAAGCCTTATTCTAAAATGGATTAAATAAAATAAAAATAATCATCAATATACACACAATACCCCATAATGACAAAGCGAAAACAGGTTTTTAGAAATGTTTGCAAATATGTTAAAAATAAAAAACAGAAATACCTTATTTACATAACTATTCAGACCCTTTGCTATGAGACTCGAAATTGAGCTCAGGTGCATCCTGTTTCCATTGATCATCCTTGAGATGTTTCTACAACATGACTGGAGTCCACCTGTGGTAAATTCAATTGATTGGACTTCATTTGGAAAGGCACACACCTGTCTATATAAGGTCCCGCAGTTGACAGTGCATGTCAAAGCAAAAACCAAGCCATGAGGTCGAAGGAATTGTCCGTAGAGCTCCGAGACAGGATTGTGTCGAGGCTCAGATCTGGGGAAGGGTACCAAAACATTTCTGCAGCATTGAAGGTCGCCAAGAACACAGTGGCCTCCATCATTCCTAAATGGAAGAAGTTTGGAACCACCAAGACTCTTCCTAGAGCTGGCCGCCCAGCCAAACTGAGCAATCGGGGGAGAAGGGCCTTGGTCAGGGAGGTGACCTCTGTGGAGATGGGAGAACCTTCCAGAAGGACAACCATCTCTGCAGCACTCCACCAATCAGGCCTTTATGGTAGAGTGGCCAGACGGAAGCCACTCCTCAGTAAAAGGCACATGACAGCCCGCTTGGAGTTTGCCAAAAGGCATCTAAAGGACTCTCAGACCATGAGAAACAAGATTATCTGGTCTGATGAAACCAAGATTGAACTCTTTGGCCTGAATGCCAAGCGTCACGTCTGGAGGGAACCTGGCACCATCTCTACGGTGAAGCATGGTGGTGGCAGCATCATGCTGTGGGGATGTTTTTCAGCGGCAAGGACTGGGAGACTAGTCAGCATCAAGGGAAAGATGAACGGAGCAAAGTACAGAGAGACCCTTGATGAAAACCTGCTCCAGAGCGCTCAGGACATCAGACTGGGGCGAAGGTTCACCTTCCAACAGGACAACGACTCTAAGCACACAGCCAAGACAACACAGGAGTGGCTTCGGGACAAGTCTCTGAATGTCCTTGAGTGGCCCAGCCAGAGCCCGGACTTGCACCCGATCGAACATCTCTGGAGAGACCTGAAAATAGCTGTGCAGCGACACTCCCCATCCAACCTGACAGAGCTTGAGAGGATCTGCAGAGAAGAATGGGATAAACTCCCCAAATACAGGTGTGCCAAGTTTGTAGCATCATACCCAAGAAGACTCGAGGCTGTAATCAATGCCAAAGGTGCGTCAACAAAGTACTGAGTAAAGAGTCTGAATACTTATGTAAATGTGATATATACAGTACCAGTCAAAAGTCTGGACACACCTACTCATTCAAGGATTTTTCTTTATTTTTACTATTTTCTACATTGTAGAATAATAGTGAACACATCAAAACTATGAAATAACACATATATGAAATCATGTAGTAACCAAAAAAGTGTTAAACAAATCAAAATATATGTTATATTTGAGATTCTTCAAATAGCCACCCTTTGCCTTGATGACAGCTTTGCACACTCTTGGCATTCTCTCAACCAACTTCACCTGGAATGCTTTTCCAACAGACTTGAAGGAGTTCCCACATATGCTGAGCACTTGTTGGCTGCTTTTCCTTCACTCTGCGGTCCGACTCATCCCAAACCATCTCAATTGGGTTGAGGTCGGGGGATTGTGGAAGTCAGGTCATGTGATGCAGCACTCCATCACTCTCCTTCTTGGTAAAATAGCCCTTACACAGCCTGGAGGTGTGTTGGGTCATTGTCCTGTTGAAAAACAAATGATAGTCCCACTAAGCCCAAACCAGATGGGATGGCGTATCGCTGCAGAATGCTGTGGTAGCCATGCTGGTTAAGTGTGCCTTGAATTATAAATCAATCACAGACAGTGTCACCAGTAAAGCACCCCCACACCATAATACCTCCTCCTCCATGCTTTACGTGGGAATTACACATGCAGAGATCATCCGTTCACCCACATCGCGTCTCACAAAGACACAGCGGTTGGAACCAAAAATCTCACATTTGGACTCCAGAATAAAGGAGACATTTCCACCAGTCTAATGTCCATTGCTCGTGTTTCTTGGCCCAAGCATGTCTCTTCTTCTTATTGGTGTCCTTTAGTAGTGGTTTCTTTGCAGCAATTCGACCATGAATGCCTGATTCACACAGTCCCCTCTGAACAGTTGATATTGAGATGTGTCTGTGACTTGAACTCTGTGAAGCATTTATTTGGGCTGCAATTTCTGAGGCTGGTAACTCTAATCAACTTATCCTCTGCAGCAGAGGTAATTCTGGGTATTCCTTTCCTGTGGCGGTCCTCATGAGAGCCAGTATCATCATAGTGCTTGATGGTTTTTGCAACTGCACTTGAAGAAACTTTCAAAGTTCTTGAAATGTTCCATATTGACTGACCTTCATGTCTTAAAGTAATGATGGACTGTCGTTTCTATTTGCTTATTTGCGCTGTTCTTGCCATAATATGGACTTGGTCTTTTACCAAATAGGGCTATCTTCTGTATATCCCCCTACCTTGTAACAACACAACTGATTGGCTCAAACGCATTAAGAAGGAAATAAATTCCACAAATTAACTTTTAAGAAGGCACACATGTTCATTGAAATCCATTCCAGGTGACTACCTCATGAAGCTGGTTGAGAAAATGCCAAGAGTGTGCAAAGCTGTCATCAAGGCAAAGGGTGGCTATTTGAAGAATCTCAAATATAAAATATATTTTGATTTGTTTAACACTTTTTTGGTTACTACATGATTGCATATGTGTTATTTCATAGTTTTGATGTCTTCACTATTATTCTACAATGTAGAAAATAGTTAAAAAAATAAAGAAAAACCCTTGAATGAGTAGGTGTGTCCAAACTTTTGACTGGTAGTGTATATACTTCTTTTTATATACATTTGCAAAAAAAACTCTAAAAACCTGTTTTTTCTTCGTCATTATGGAGTATTGTGTGTAGATTGATGAGGGGAAAAATACAATTTAATCCATTTTAGAATAAGGCTGTAACATAACAAAATGTGGACGAAGTCAAGAGGCCTGAATACTTTCAGAATGCACTGTATATCAAAAGCATTTGATAGTATCCAACCTGGGCATGCTGCATGAAACAGAATATATTTTTTTGGGGAGAAAATAGATAAGTATGTCTATTGGAAACAAATTAATACACAAATCTATTAAATTACTTACCATGCCCATAATAGCGAGCCCAGACCCAATAGCTATTACTGTGGGAATGATGTTGAATTTTCCAGCCTGAAGAACACAATAAAGAACATTTGATCTGACACAGACTGTAATATTACTACTACCAACACATTAAATTAGATAAGTAAGTGTAACTAGAGTCACTGTCATACCCGTCCATTCACCATGATATCAAAGCGAATCCCATAGACTTTATACAAAGTCCGATAGCTCTCTCCAGCTTCATCTTTGTAATACCGTGCATATCTGGAAAACAAACAAATCAGCTGTCTGGAACAGAAATGTCAACAACTGCTTGGTAGAGCTGGATCTGAGATTAAATACAGTACTTGGAGAGAGCTCAAGCTTTATTAGCTCAAGATAATATATTTTCAGAATGAGTGCATGGATTATTATATCTACATGAAGTACAATGAGCTTAAAGATACAGTACGGGATCTTAAGCACAACACATTTGTTACATGTTATACCAATTGGATTAATAAAATATCATACGAATTGCAACAACAACAAAATATAGGGACCCGTTTTGGCTCGTGAGCACCACTTTCAAAACTTCTGGCTGAAATTATACAAAAGTTTGGGAGCATCACTTGAATGCATGTCAAGATGTACCTGAAGTTGTAGCCTGATGTGACAGAGCTGTTTAAGTTCCTATCCAAACGAGTAAAGCTGTACTCTGGGTTACACTGTGAGTAGTCCTTATCCAAATCACAGTTCCACTCAATCAGAATTCCAACTGACCCACCCTGAGAGATAGAGAGAGAGAGATTACACTGTTTATGAACAAACACCTGTGCTTGACGTTGCTCTAAATATGGAGGATTACTCTATTGCCCTGCTATTCAAGATTTACTTTCTTAACCTTGACTATGAACTGTGGTCACATTTACATAAACTCCTCGTTAAACATTAACAACTAGGAACATAAATATAATGTACTTTACAACTTTAAAATTGGCAACTCTAATGATAACACAGTAGCTACTACACTGCTGATCATCTTTGCCATATATGGTAAGAATGGCTCTGGTTAACCCATTGTCTTGTTCTATGCTGGGTGTCCGGCTATATTAACAACAAGAGGTAGTGTTTACTTGTAAATGTCTACCCTGAGCTTGCTGGGAAGTTGAGGTGAGGCCACTTTATGCAGGGCTCTTTGACAAGCCACTTAATACAGATCTAGCAACTTCTATGTTTCATATTGTTGTTGTAATTATGCAACCATCGTTGTTATTCATTTAAATGTCATGCCTAATGACTGCAGCCTATATGACAAATGTCAAATTAAATGTACTGTATTTTCTGCACTATAAGGCGCACCGGAGTATAAGCCGCAGCAGCTAAATTGAATGATATTGAATGATGTGTACATATATAAGCCGCACTGGACTATAAGCCGCAGGTGTTTTAATGTTTAATTACCATATGTAAGGGTTCGTGCACAGAGGGGATTGTCGGGAAAGAGACAAACTGTCTCGCTCTCGTAATGTCTGTCTGTCTTGCTCTCGTTCTGTCTCTCGTTCTGTCTCTCGTACCACTCTCGGTTCCACTTTTACTTTTGCGCGCTACCTGTCTCACTCTTTTCCGGCCTCCAGCTTTTCCTGCTGGAGCCCGCTGCTTAAAGGTGGGGGGCGCGGACCGGTCATAGAGCCCATAGAGTTAAAGTTGGTGGACTGTAACCTGTAAAATCCATAGATTTAGGAGGTCTTCTAGTGGCCGTTAGCTGTAAAAATCCATAGATTAGCCGCACCGTTATATAAGCCACAGGGTCTAAAAATGGGGAAAAAGGCGCGGCTTATAGTCCGAAAATTACGGTAATCAAAATTATGGTACTTACCTAACTGCCTGAAAGCAGGCATCATTATCAAATGGACTGGAGGAAAAGAGAACTACATCACTCCCACACTGCTTGGATAAAATGATGAAAGCCTGAAAAGCCTAATCTGGATTCACTGGACTCAGTGTTTAACCAGAAACCCAACCCTCTCTGCCAGGTCTCTCTCTGCCAGGGAAACAGGTCTCCTGACCTCAATGGGACAACCTGGTTAAATAAAGGATAAATTGGAAGATAAAAAAATAAAGAATATGTACCACTACAGCCATGTCCTGAAAATCATGTCCAGTCCTGCTGACTAGGTCTCCCAGACGGAAGATGGGGCAGTAGGGATGGAGGTCGTTGTCATAGGAACATCTCTTTAGATAGGAGTCATTACCGGTGTCCAGGACATTTGACCTGAGGGGAAAGAATTTTTTTTGCTACATGATTAGTAGTCCAGTATCATACTTTTCCTTGGCTAAATCCAAAAAAGGTCATAGGCCTAAACCAGTAAGAATGAACTGAACAATTAAGTTATCTTATCAGCTTCAAATTACAAGCTTTTCTCTTTGACCCTTAGATAAGGAATAGCACAGAGCTACATATCTTATCTATAATTTCTTAAATAGCTCATATGGCACTGCAAATATAGCATGCTATTTCAAGCTGCACATCTACAAAACTGTTCTTCATTTTATTCATGTTGCTCATACAAGTAGCTAACTTCATAGTTCAAGAACTTCATAGTTTAGACACTTTCCATTCCATACACACAATATAGGGGAGAGTGGGGTATGTTGAGACATCTTTTACATTCAGTATCACTACGTCAAGGGAAATATAGTATTCTTTCTAACAAATATATCTACATATATTTCAGGATATTGTGTATCCCTGGAAATAATCTGAATTCATGTAAACATAAAATATTTGAAAACATAGCTTGTCCAAAACAAGTGGTCTCTTGGCACAACTTACCCTGGGTATGTTGTGCAATAATGCCTACCATTCAGCTGTTTTTCTAACCTCATTGTCTGAACCGTTAACGTTAGGTAGTAAGGAGCTACTGTGCTCGAAATGTAGCTAGCTTGTTGCTACCTGGATAGCTAATTAAACAATAGTTGGAACGACCTAGCAAACAGACGCGAACTGGCTGAGTCGATTCAGTGGCTAGCATTGCACTTGGCTAGCTAACAGTAGCTGCTAGGGGTAAGTTATAACCTACATTTGTGTTTTGTTTTTACATACCGGCAGCCAGAGTTGTTCAAGGGAATTCGGGACATGGGTGACTAGTTAACGTTAGCTTGGCTCTCTCTGTGTGTTCGTGCCATGGGTGGAGGGGTTTTTTCATTGGCAGAAAGCAATGGCTAGCTAGTATGCTAACTATTCTAGCTAACTAACTGGCTGAATAAGTTGACGACGGACTCGCTCAAGCTGTCGGGACTAACCCACAACGTTAGACACGGACACGAATGATCTGCTTGGCGTGTTGACACACTGGTGGTTTGTTGTGACCGAGTATTGGTGCTAAACCGTGTTGTTGGAGGCTGGCATGCTAGTTGGCTGTGGCGTCATAGGACTAGGTGCCCTGGACGGTTTTCACTGAATAATACTGTACCAAGTTAGCTAGCTGAATAAACTAAGTTAGTCTATTCCTAGAAAACATTGAACCGCTGTAGTTTACAACAATTATAGTTTCTGAGGTGGAAGTTGGGAGAGTTATATTTGGGTGTTTCAGTGAAACGTAAGTGAGGGAGGCCCCGCTCTCTCGCTTTCCCAGATGTTTAGTTCATTTCATTCCGATCTCCTTTGCATTATTGTAGCCATTTTCTGTAGCCTGTCAACTATGCCTCTGTCTATCCCTGTTCTCTCCTCTCCGCACAGGCTATACAAACGCCTCACACCGCGTGGCTGCTGCCTCTCTAACCTGGTGGTCCCTGCACGCACAACCCACGTGGAGTTCCAGGTCTCCGGCAGCCTCTGGAACTGCCGTTCTGCGGCCAACAAGGCAGAGTTCATCTCAGCCTATGCTACCCTCCAGTCCCTCGACTTCTTGGCGCTGACGGAAACATGGATTACCACTGAAAACACTGCTACTCCTACTGCTCTCTCCTCGTCTGACCATGTGTTCTCGCATACCCCGAGAGCATCTGGTCAGCGGGGTGGTGGCACAGGAATCCTCATCTCTCCCAAGTGGACATTCTCTCTTTTTCCCCTGACCCATCTGTCTATCTCCTCATTTGAATTCCATGCTGTCACAGTCACTAGCCCATTCAAGCTTAACATCCTTGTCATTTATCGCCCTCCAGGTTCCATTGGAGAGTTCATCAATGAGCTTGATGCCTTGATAAGTTCCTTTCCTGAGGATGACTCACCCCTCACAGTTCTGGGTGACTTTAACCTCCCTACGTCTACCTTTGACTCATTTCTCTCTGCCTCCTTCTTTCCACTCCTCTCCTCTTTTGACCTCACAGTCCCCCCCTACTCACAAGGCAGGCAATACGCTTGACCTAATCTTTATTAGATGCTGTTCTTCTACTAATCTCACTGCAACTCCCCTCCATGTCTCCGACCACTACTTTGTATCCTTTTCTCTCTCGCTCTCCTCCAACACTACTCACTCTGCCCCTACTCAGATGGTAATGCGCCGTCGCAACCTTCGCTCTCTCTCTCCCGCTACTCTCTCCTCTTCCATCCTATCATCTCTTCCCTCTGCTCAATCCTTCTCCCTCCAATCTCCTGATTCTGCCCCCTCAACCCTCCTCTCTTCCCTTTCTGCATCCTTTGACTCTCTATGTCCCCTATCCTCCCGGCCGGCTCGGTCCTCCCCTCCTGCTCCGTGGCTTGACGACTCATTGCGAGCTCACAGAACAGGGCTCCGGGCAGCCGAGCGGAAATGGAGGAAAACTAGACTCCCTATGGACCTGGCATCTTTTCACTCCCTCCTCTCTACATTTTCTTTGTCTGTTTCTGCTGCTAAAGCCACTTTCTACCACTCTAAATTCCAAGCATCTGCCCTAGTTAGACCCACTTTGCCAGCTTCTCCTCCCTGCTGAATCCCCTCCCCCCCCCCCCCCCTCTCTGCGGATGACTTCGTCAACCATTTTGAAAAGAAGGTTGACGACATCCAATCCTCGTTTGTTAACTCAAATGACACTGCTGGTCATGCTCACACTGCCCTACCCTATGCTTTGACTTCTTTCTCCCCTCTCTCTCCAGATTAAATCTTGCGACTTGTGACGGCCGGCCGCCCAACAACCTGCCCGCTTGACCCTATCCCCTCCTCTCTTCTCCAGACCATCTCCGGTGACCTTCTCCCTTACCTCACCTCGCTCATCAACTCATCCTTGACCGCTGGCTATGTCCATTCCGTCTTCAAGAGAGCGAGAGTTGCACCCCTTCTCAAAAAACCTACACTCGATCCCTCCGATGTCAACAACTACAGACCAGTATCCCTTCTTTCTTTTCTCTCCAAAACTCTTGAGCGTGCCGTCTTTAGCCAACTCTCTTGCTATCTCTCTCAGAATTACCTTCTTGATGCAAACCAGTCAGGTTTCAAGACTGGTCATTCAACTGAGACTGCTCTTCTCTGTGTCACGGAGGCTCTCCGCACTGCTAAAGCTAACTCTCTCTCCTCTGCTCTTGTCCTTCTAGACCTGTCTGCTGCCTTTGATACTGTGAACCATCAGATCCTCCTCTCCACCCTCTCCGAGTTGGGCATCTCCAGCGCGGCTCACTCTTGGATTGCGTCCTACCTGACCGGTCGCTCCTACCAAGTGGCGTGGCGAGAATCTGTCTCCGCACCACGTGCTCTCACCACTGGTGTCCCCCAGGGTTCAGTTCTAGGCCCTCTCCTATTCTCGCTATACACCAAGTCACTTGGCTCTGTCATATCCTCACATGGCCTCTCCTATCATTGCTACGCAGACGACACACAACTAATCTTCTCCTTTCCCCCTTCTGATAACCAGGTGGTGAATCGCATCTCTGCATGTCTGGCAGACATATCAGTGTGGATGACGGATCATCACCTCAAGCTGAACCTCGGCAAGACGGAGCTGCTCTTCCTCCCAGGGAAGGACTGCCCGTTCCATGATCTCGCCATCACGGTTGACAACTCCGTTGTGTCCTCCTCCCAGAGTGCAAAGAGCCTTGGCGTGACCCTGGACAACACCCTGTCATTCTCCGCTAACATCAAGGCGGTGACCCGATCCTGTAGGTTCATGCTCTACAACATTCGGAGAGTACGACCCTGCCTTACACAGGAAGCGGCACAGGTCCTAATCCAGGCACTTGTCATCTCCCGTCTGGATTACTGCAACTCGCTGTTGGCTGGGCTCCCTGCCTGTGCCATTAAACCCCTACAACTCATCCAGAATGCCACAGCCCGTCTGGTGTTCAACCTTCCCAAGTTCTCTCACGTCACCCCGCTCCTCCGCACACTCCACTGGCTTCCAGTTGAAGCTTGCATCTGCTACAAGACCATGGTGCTTTCCTACGGAGCTGTGAGGGGAACGGCACCTCCGTACCTTCAGGCTCTCATCAGTCCCTACACCCAAACGAGGGCATTGCGTTCATCCACCTCTGGCCTGCTGGCCCCCCTACCTCTGCGGAAGCACAGTTCCCGCTCAGCCCAGTCAAAACTGTTCGCTGCTCTGGCACCCCAATGGTGGAACAAGCTCCCTCACGACGCCAGGACAGTGGAGTCACTCACCACCTTCCGGAGACACTTGAAACCCCACCTCTTTAAGGAATACCTGGGATAGGATAAAGTAATCATTCTACCCCCCCTTACCCCACCCCAAAGAAAGAAAGAAGAAAAAAAACATATTGTAAAGTGGTTATCCCACTGGCTATAAGGTGAATGCACCAATTTGTAAGTCGCTCTGGATAAGAGCGTCTGCTAAATGACGTAAATGTAAATGTAAATGTATGGGGTATATTGAGCATAGGGACAGGGTAAGTTGAGCCGCCTTGGGGTAAGTGGGTGATGGTGTCCTGTGACAGTGGCGGGTGATGGTAGGTCAAAGTTGAATTCATGTATGCCTACATTCAGACTCAATGAAATGATGACCTCTTCTTAAATATTTGGTCACATTATTCATTTTGTGTATGGTTTCCTAGAAACAAATGGTGGCTCAATTAACCCTTTGGCTCAATTTACCCCACTCTCCCCTAATCAAAAGATCTACAACTGAAATGATGAATCATGAATTGGCAGAGGACTGATGTCTCTGTGCTTTCCTGTTAGGCTTGGAAAGACAACACCGATGTTCTGGCTGATTAACCCTTCTACAACAACAGCCTTACTGGCATGAGAGCACAGTGAGCCAATCAGATCTGTCCTGACACCTGTCCTGGACTGGGCCTGCTCTGCTGTCAAGGACATCTCAGATGACCGCTCCACTGTCTCACTGAACACACACATACACGCACCCCCACCCAGTACGAATGGCTATGGGTGTATATAAATAGAAGGGACTGTGCACCCTCATAGCTATTCAAAGCAGTTCTAGGACATGTATCCCCCCCTCTGCCCAACTCACACATACTTAATGATCTATGTCACCGACACTGACTGTTTCCCTAGAGAAAGATTGCCTCTACTACCCTGAGGTCTGCATGAATAAGCCCCACTTAACACCACTCATAACCACTTACTTGGAGAATTCAAACTTCGGAAACCTGACAGAGTTCTTGATGTAAATTGTGAAGTTTTCTGCCTTGCTTAATAAAGCATCCCTGGAAATTAAGGGGAAAAGTGTTAAACCAGAGTGACTGCTACATAATGGTAGATGATCAGGACAAGGTACTTCATACTGAAGTACACAACGTAGTGTATGTAGTGGGTGCATTTATACTGAGAGTCAATGCAAAAGAGGATGAATTCTCACGAGGGTTTACGCCCCGTCTCGACGGGACACCAGCCATGTATCTCACAGGTCCCTGTAGAGTTTAAACACAGTCCGGTCTTTACCCCTGCAGGGAAAGGCAAAGATCACTGTCAACATCCTGGAAAGACATAATAATCTGGGGGGAAATTAGGGGGAAGTGTAACGCGTAGGAGTTAATTTTGGCATGCAAAAATGCATTTTCTAAGGTAACAAGGAATTTCCTAGAGAGACGTTTGTCTAATTTCAACGCTGGTGATTCTCATAAGCTTTCTACACATTAGTGGTGTACATAGCCAGTGTTAATCTGTAAATAAATGTTAATTTTGGAAATGTAAATAGAAATGAGATAAAGACTGCCCCAGTTGCCCATATTAGTCCTTACCATTGCCAGCTACCACCGCCTCACCCTCAGCACAATCCTCATTGTTTACACATTGGCCATCTGGCACCTTAGGGCTCTGGAGAAAATAGGACACGTTGCTGTAGTTAAAAATGCAAACCTGTATTCAAAGCAGTGTATTGAAGAGCCTAGAGACGACGACAACATACAATAGCATTGTGACCACAATGGGGAGTACCATTTGAATGCTAAAGCAATATAGGAATACACAATGTTATTGGACCAGTGAACAGTGACACACTGACCCCATCATACTATGAAGTTCATTAAATATAATTAATCATTCATTCATAACTTATCATAGCGGCACCGAAAGCGTACTCTAACATCAAATAAGCTATTCTTGGAAGACAATGGCAAGGTCAAGCCATCTATCTCTGAGGAAAGAACTGTTGGGCCTGAGGCATCATAAATAAAGCTCTAGGCAGTTTGGATTCTGACATCCGCCTCAAATTACTAGTCGATTTTCTGCTTGCTTTGCCATATATGGTAAGAATCATTGCATCATCAATGCTGACTTAGTGGAGTTTAATTTCCTTGTTTGATTGGATCATTATACAGTGGGGAAAAAAAGTATTTAGTCAGCCACCAATTGTGCAAGTTCTCCCACTTAAAAAGATGAGAGAGGCCTGTAATTTTCATCATAGGTACACGTCAACTATGACAGACAAATTGAGAAAAAAATATCCAGAAAATCACATTGTAGGATTTGTAATGAATTTATTAGCAAATTATGGTGGAAAATAAGTATTTGGTCACCTACAAACAAGCAAGATTTCTGGCTCTCACAGACCTGTAACTTCTTCTTTAAGAGGCTCCTCTGTCCTCCATTCGTTACCTGTATTAATGGCACCTGTTTGAACTTGTTATCAGTATAAAAGACACCTGTCCACAACCTCAAACAGTCACACTCCAAACTCCACTATGGCCAAGACCAAAGAGCTGTCAAAGGAACAAAATTGTAGACCTGCACCAGGCTGGGAAGCCTGAATCTGCAATAGGTAAGCAGCTTGGTTTGAAGAAATCAACTGTGGGAGCAATTATTAGGAAATGGAAGACATTCAAGACCACTGATAATCTCCCTCGATCTGGGGCTCCACGCAAGATCTCACAAGAACGGTGAGCAAAAATCCCAGAACCACACGGGGGGACCTAGTGAATGACCTGCAGAGAGCTGGGACCAAAGTAACAAATCCTACCATCAGTAACACACTACGCCACCAGGGACTCAAATCCTGCAGTGCCAGACGTGTCCCCCTGCTTAAGCCAGTACATGTCCAGGCCCGTCTGAAGTTTGCTAGAGTGCATTTGGATGATCCAGAAGACGATTGGGAGAATGACATATGGTCAGATGAAACCAAAATAGAACTTTTTGGTAAAAACTCAACTCGTCGTGTTTGGAGGACAAATAATTCTGAGTTGCATCCAAAGAACACCATACCTACTGTGAAGCATGGGGGTGGAAACATCATGCTTTGGGGCTGTTTTTCTGCTAAGGGACCAGGACGACTGATCCGTGTAAAGGAAAGAATGAATGGGGCCATGTATCGTGAGATTTTGAGTGAAAACCTCCTTCCATCAGCAAGGGCATTGAAGATGAAACGTGGCTGGGTCTTTCAGCATGACAATGATCCCAAACACACCACCCGGGCAACGAAGGAGTGGCTTCGTACGAAGCATTTCAAGGTCCTGGAGTGGCCTAGCCAGTCTCCAGATCTCAACCCCATAGAAAATCTTTGGAGGGAGTTGAAAGTCTGTGTTGCCCAGCGACAGCCCCAAAACATCACTGCTCTAGAGGAGATATGCATGGTGGAATGGGCCAAAATACCAGCAACAGTGTGTGAAAACCTTGTGAAGACTTACAGAAAACGTTTGACCTGTGTCATTGCCAACAAAGGGTATATAACAAAGTATTGAGAAACTTTTGTTATTGACCAAATACTTATTTTCCACCATAATTTGCAAATAAATTCATTAAAAATCCTACAATGTGATTTTCTGGAATATTTTTTCTCATTTTGTCTGTCATAGTTGATGTGTACCTATGATGAAAATTACAGGCCTCTCTCATCTTTTTAAGTGGGAGAACTTGCACAATTGGTGGCTGACTAAATACTTTTTTTCCCCACTGTAAAGTATTGCCATCTCAGCTGCACAGTCATCCAATCTCTATCTCAGGGGGATCTTTGAAAATAAATTCAATAAACAAGATTTTTGTCTAGAATATGGTAGTACAATATTGCTTTTCACTCACCTCAGCACAGAACCCAAGGCTCTGATTTGGGGTCTCGATGTAATTTGTAACAATGAAGAAGACCTGTTCACCCTGAAAAACAACAACAAGCTAAAACTATACTTTCCTCAATCAGGTTAGTCAGGGGACTGATGGACTGTGTGTTGACTGTACAAAATTAAATCCCTAAATACATATTCATTTGTCAAAGCTTTTAATACTGTAAGCTTAAATATAAATAGAACAGTTTCTCACCACATATTAATATAGCCTTACAAAATACAAAATTAAGGACATCCAGTGGTGGCTGACTGGGCTCACCATGTGGACAGGAGCAGGCTTTTCTATTGAATCTGTTTATCATTGAGTCGCTAAAGGTTAAGTGAATTATAGTGATTAGAGTTGAGAAACAACTGCCTATCTTTTATTTAACAAGACAGATGAAATGAAGTGTCTCTTGAGGAAAAAAGACTCAGTATGTTCATAGCTAAAATGTATATAACGAAAAGTATGACTGTCCTGTTGCTCTACAGGCTGTGCAGTATAATGTCCAATGACCCTAATCATTGCCATTTCCACGACCGTATAAGATAAACATTATTTAAAGAAGAATTGAAGAGCACTCTAAATACATGTCAACTTCTCATATTCTAAAACAGTACCAAATGGATGTTCAAAATAGCTGACAAACATGCTTATGCCAATGTTTCATAAAGTGCACTACTCTATCCTGGATGGATATAGATCTCATTCCGTCAGTAGAGGATGCCTGGTTGTTCCTTAAAAGTAATTTCCTCTCAATCTTAAATAAACATGCCCCATTCAAAAAATACAGAACTAAGAACCGATATAGCCCCTGGTTCTCCTCAGACTTGACTGCCCTTGACCAGCACAAAAACATCCTGTGGCGTACAGCATTAGCATCAAATAGCCCCCGCGATATGCAATTTTTCAGGGAAGTTAGGAACCAATATACACAAGCAGTCAGGAAAGCAAAGGCTAACTTTTTCAAACAGAAATTTGCATCCTGTAGCACTAACTCCAAAAAGTTTTGGGACACTGTAAAGTCCATGGAGAATAAGAGCACTTCCTCCCAGCTGCCCACTGCACTGAGGCTAGGAAACACTATCACCACCGATAAATCTACAATAATCGAGAATTTCAACAAGCATTTTGCTACAGCTGGCCATGCTTTCCATCTGGCTACCACTAACCCGGCCACCAACTCTGCACCCTCTGCTGCAACTTGCCCATGCCCCCCCCGCTTCTCCTTCACACAAATTCAGACAGTTGATGTTTTGAAAGCGCTGCAAAATCTGGACCCCTACAAATCAGCTGGGCTAGACAATCTGGACCCTTTCTTTCTAAAACTAGCCGCCGAAATTGTCGCTACCCCTATTACTAGTCTGTTCAACCTCTCTTTCATAACGTCTGAGATCCCCTGAGATTGGAAAGCTGCCGCGGTCATCCCCCTCTTCAAAGGGGGTGACACTCTAGATCCAAACTGCTACAGACCTATATCCATCCTGCCCTGCCTTTCGAAAGTATTTGAAAGCCAAGTTAACAAACAGATCACCGACCATTTCGAATACCACCGTACCTTCTCCGCTATGCAATCCGGTTTCCGAGCTGGTCACGGGTGCACTTCAGCCACGCTCAAGGTCATAAACGATATTATAACCGCGATTGATAATAGACAGTACTGTGCAGCCGTCTTCATCGACCTGGCCAAGGCTTTCGACTCTGTCAACCACCGCATTCTTATTGGCAGACTAAATAGCCTTGGTTTCTCAAATGACTGCCTCGCCTGGTTCACCAACTACTTCTCAGATAGAGTTCAGTGTGTCAAATCGGAGGGCCTGTTGTCTGGACCTATGGCAGTCTCTATGGGGGTGCCACAGGGTTCAATTCTTGGGCCGACACTTTTCTCCGTGTATATCAATGATGTCGCTCTTGCTGCTGGTGACTCTCAGATCCACCTCTACGCAGACGACACCATTTTGTATACATCTGGCCCTTCATTGGACACTGTGTTAACAAACCTCCAAACGAGCTTCAATGCCATACAACAATCCTTCAGTAGCCTCCAACTGCTCTTAAACACTAGTAAAACTAAATGCATGCTTTTCAATCGAACGCTGCTGGCACCCGCCCACCCGACTAGAATCACCACTCTCGACGGGTCTGACCTAGAGTATGTGGACAACTACAAATACCTAGGTGTCTGGTTAGACTGTAAACTCAACTTCCAGACTCACATAAAGAATCTCCAATCCAAAGTTAAATCTAGAATCGGCTTCCTATTTCGCAACAAAGCCTCCTTCACTCATGCTGCCAAACATGCCCTCGTAAAACTGACTATCCTACCGATCCTTGACTTCGGCGATGTCATTTACAAAATAGCCTCCAACACTCTACTCAGCAAATTGGATGTAGTCTATCACAGTGCCATCCGTTTTGTCTCCAAAGCCCCATACACTACCCACCACTGTGACCTGTACGCTCTTGTTGGCTGGTCCTCACTACATGTTCGTCGTCAAACCCACTGGCTCCAGGCCATCTATAAATCACTGCTAGGCAAATCCCCGCCTTATCTTAGCTCATTGGTCACCATAGCAGCACCCACCCGTAGTCTGCGCTCCAGCAGGTATATCTCACTGGTAATTCCCAAAGCCAACACCTCCTTTGGCCGCCATTCCTTCCAGTTCTCTGCTGCCAATGACTGGAACGAATTGCAAAAATCTCTGAAGCTGGAGACTCTTATCTCCCTCAATAACTTTAAGCATCAGTTGTCAGAGCACCTTACCGATCACTGCACCTGTACACAGCCCATCTGAAATTAGCCCACCCAACTACCTCATCCCTATATTGTTATTTATTTTGCTCTTTTGCACCCCAGTATCTCTATTTGCACATAATCTCTTGCACATCTAGCATTCCAGTGTTAATACTATTGTAATTATTCTGCACTATAGCCTATTTATTGCCTTACCTCCATAACTTGCTACATTTGCACACACTGTATATATATTTTCTGTTGTATTTTTGACTTTATGTTTTTTTACCCCATATGTAACTCTGTGTTGTTTTTATTGCACTGCTTTGCTTTATCTTGGCCAGGTCGCAGTTGTAAATGAGAACCTGTTCTCAACTGGTTTACCTGGTTAAATAAAGGTGAAATAAAAAAATAAAATAAAAAACTCTCATGCCATGGCCAGATATACTGTCTCTATGGATGTGATATAAAGCTGCATGTGGTGGCCTGTTACTTAAAAAATTAGTTGGGTGTGATTGAAAACTGATGAAAGTGAGTTAATGGAGAGACCCCATAAAAATGTTACTCATTGTACTTGAAAACATACAATATCAATGACTTGCTGTATCACTGACTGAGCTTCGGCTTCAACTCAATTAGACTTGAATTAATCATCTAGCAGTAGGCTCTGTACTGTATGTCAGCTCTACCTGTGTACATAAAATCTCCCAAAAAGTCCCAGAATCTCACCGTTGGAGGTATGACATAATCCTCAGGCCCCCACAGGTTAAATCCAGCTTCTGTGTTGTTGGTCATGACCACTCCTTTCAGCTTGGTGATGACAGAGCTCTGGACGGTCTCTTCCCTTGATTGGTACCCCTTCTTATACACTAAAACCCACCTGAGAATTTAAACACACTGATTATTGATTGATTGATTTTTTTCTGTAATTTCATTCATTTTAACTCTCGGTCACATATGAAAATGTAGAGAAGTTGTCAGTCACGTATAAAATTGACATTGATGGTTATTTGAACAAACGTATTACAGTATGGGTCTAGTGCCCTGGATAAATTAAAGTTTTAATTCATGTGCTGAGTGTTCATAAGACACAAAAATGTCAAATGCAGTCTATAAAACGGTTATAGAATGCTGTAAAACATGTTAATGAGATGAGGGAAAGGAGGCAGTCATGAAAGGATACTTTCATTTTGTGGAGGAACAATTTGCCTCTGTGAAATGGGTGGATTATTTATGGTCAAGAGTAATGTAACAAAAAAAAATGCTTTATTTACATTTACCTAAACTGCAATTATTAATTAGATTTGGATTACATAGTACTGTATCTCAGACCAGAGGGCAGGCTCTGGAAGAAGCCACACAGATTGTGAATTGAGTCCCCTGCTCTTTGTGTTGCATTCTTCCTTTGCCTGTGTGCCATACAGCCTCTTTGCTTTATCTTGGCCAGGTCGCAGTTGTAAATGAGAACTTGTTCTCAACTGGCTTACCTGGTTAAATAAAGGTGAAATAAAATAAAAATAAAATATAAAAAAAAGGCCTGAGCACTGCTGCCCTCAGACAGCAGAGCCCATACTGACTACCTTCCTCAGCTTGATGAAACAGGTGGCAGGTGTATGTGGCAGTTTGGAGTGTGACTGTTTGAGGTTGTGGACAGGTGTCTTTTATACTGATAACAAGTTCAAACAGGTGCCATTAATACAGATAACGAGTGGAGGACAGAAGAGCCTCTTAAAGAAGAAGTTACAGGTCTGTGAGAGCCAGAAATCTTGCTTGTTTGTAGGTGACCAAATACTTATTTTCCACCATAATTTGCAAATCAATTCATTAAAAATCCTACAATGTGATTTTCTGGATTATTTTTTCTCAATTTGTCTGTCATAGTTGACGTGTACCTATGATGAAAATTACAGGCCTCTCTCATCTTTTTAAGTGGGACTAAATACTTTTTTCCCCCACTGTATAACTCTTTAATAGAAGCCATTGCTTTAATAGAAGCCATGTCTAGCACATGTTTATTACCAATTTGTTATGCATCTTTATTTCTTACTTTATTCCATGTTTCCAGACACTACTGATGATCACCCATTATTACCATGTCTACCTCCAGTTTCTAAATATAGCTTTAATCTCTAGCTATAGCTAAAAGACTCCTGATATCTCCAGGAGTGATAAGTATAATTTTTGGTATTCATCTGTTATCTAGTACTGCCTTTTTGCTAGCTAGGGCCATCTACTTAAAGTGCTGCCTGTCTTCCCAGTAGCCTACTTGGTGTGTGAACTGCTGACTGCTCATAACTTGCAGCTGATTGTTGACACATCAACCAGGATTAAGGGGCAAAACTAAGACCGTCACTGAAACAAAGACTGTTCTGCAGAGTTGTTCTGCTGAGTTTTTCGAGAAAGGAAAGTGAGGAAGGCTCCACACCATTCTCTCACTTGATCTTACCTAGTTATTTTCAGATTATCTCATTTTGCTCTTTTGTAGCTTTATCAACTATGTGTGTGTTTTCTATACCTGTTCGCTCCTCTCACTGTAGGCTTTACAGACACTCCCCACCACTTGGCTGCAACCCTTCTATCAGAACAGGGCTGCGGGCAGCTGAGCGAAAATGGAGGAAAAATAAACTTCCTAGGAGGACCTATCATCCTTTCACTCCCTCCTCTCTATCTTCTCTTCCTCTGTATCCGCTGCTAAAAGCACTTTCTATCACTCTAAATTTCAAGCTTCTCCCTTTAATCATAGGAAACACTTTTCCACCTTCTCCTCCCTCCAGCCACTCAAGCCATAGACTGACAACAACAGGCTCCTGAACAGCTTCCATCCCCAAGCCATAAGACTGCTAAATACCTAACAGAATGGTTACACAGACTGAGTTGACCGTTGTATTTTATTTTTTATCTTTGCACTGTCTCTATGCACACTCACAGGACTCTACATACTCACGCACACTGACACTCCAACACACACATAACATGTACACACATTTATACTGACTCTACACACACACTCACATACAATCATAATTTACACTGCTGCTACTCTGTTTATCATATATCCTGATGCCTAGTCACCACTGCTAGTCACCTTACCTCTATACATACTGTATCTACCACTATCACTCCAGTATCCCTGCACATTGTAAATATGGTATTGGAACTGACCCTATATCTAACTTCTTACTTTCTCGTGTTCTTCTTATTTCTTATTTTTATTTGTGTTTTTTTGTTCTACCTTATGTTATTTTTAGTGCTACATTGATATCGATTACTGCATTGTTGGGTTTGGAGCTAGCAAGAAAGGCATTTCACTGTACTTGTGCACGTACAACTTGAAACTTGAAACTAATCCTCCACCCCCTCCCTTTCTTTTTTTTTTTTTTTATATACTTTGTTTATTGAATTTTCAGTACCAGCATTTAGTAAATAATTGCACTTGAAAGTTATTTGGTATGAATATGGAACAACAATTTGAAGACAACGATACAGCAAAACATGGAGAGACAGACATGAAAGAAAAAATAGACATTAAGTACATAAATAAGATAAAACACAAAAAAAAAAAAAAAAAAAAGGAAGAATATCTGTTTTGATCCAGTTGTTATAGGTCAGCTAGCACAGTTATTACCGTCCTTAACATCCGAGATGTCGTATATGCACATACCAGGCTTCTTACATCACCAATATATAAATATACATCACTCTGGAACTGCAGGGAAATGTATTCTTTTGACATAAGAAAAGAAGGGAGCCCACTTTGCATAAAATTTGTCTACAGACCCATTGAGTGTCTGTTTTATTTTCTCCAACTTTATGCAATTCAAAATAGATTTAATCCAAAGAGCATGAGAAGGGGCTGCAGAGGATTTCCATCTAAGTAAAATTAATCGTCTCGCTAACAACGTGACAAAGGCAATTACATCCTTATTCATTTTGGTCAATTGTATTGTGGGTAAGGAAACTCCAAATAATGCAATGAGAGGGTCTGGCTCGATCTGTGTGCCGCTTAATTCTGAGAGTGTGTTAAAGATGTCTTTCCAGAAACCAACAAGAGATGGGCAGCACCAAAACATGTGCACATGATTAGCAGGGGACTGGTTACATCGAACACAATTAGGGTTCACATCCTTGTAAATTTTTGATAGTCTTGCTTTGGTCCAGTGGGCCCTATGAATGAGTTTGCATTGGATGAGGCCGTGTCGAGCGCAAATAGAAGAGCTATGTACCCTTTTGAGTGCCCCTTCCCATAGTTCATCAGATATTTCCTCACCCAGTTCCTCCTCCCAAGAGGATTTGATATTGTTTAATGAGATGGTTTGTAGTGAGCAAATTTGACTATAGATTATTGACATTGTGCCTTTCTGATTAGGAAGTGGGGTGAGAAATGTGTCGAACTGTGTTCCACTAGAAAGGTTGGGGAATCCTGGATCTATGCTGCGGATGTAACTCCGGACTTGTAAGAATCTAAAAAAATTATGTCTGGGGAGACCAAATTTAGCTGATAGTTGTTGAAACGTACTAAATGTATTGTTAGTATACAGATCTCTGAATCTTTTAATACCGAGATTAGACCATGTTGAGAAAGCACCATCAATCATAGATGGGGGAAAAGCTGGGTTTGAGGCTACCGGAGCCAAGGAAGAGGTTGTTTGAAACCCAAAGTGGCGCCTAAATTGATTCCAGATCTTCAATGTTGTTTTGACACATGTATTATTGGTGAAGGAGGAGTAAGGGCCTGTAATAGAGGAGTGAGCGAGGGAAGACAGTGATGCCGGTGTAGACGAGGCAGCCTCCATCTCCAGCCAAGTTGGGGGTGGGAATATTACTCTGCTCTGCAACCAGTACTGAATGATCCTAAGGTTAGCGGCCCAATAATAGAATCTGAAATCTGGTAGAGCTAGACCGCCGTCTGGTTTGGGCCTCTGCAAGAGCTGTTTTCGCATCCTAGGAGGCTTTTTGTCCCATATAAAGGGTAGAATTAGGCCGTCGATCTTTTTGAAAAATGTATTGGGTAGAAATATTGGAAGGCACTGATAGAGGTATAAGAATTTAGGGAGAGTATTCATTTTAATAGAGTTAATTCTAGCAACTAAGGAGAGGTGTAGCAAAGACCACCGTTCCAAATCGTCCTTAGTACGGGTTAAGAGAGGAGCAAAGTTGGCTTGAAAAAGGTTTTCAAACCTAATTGTGACATGTACCCCGAGATAAAACTGCTGTGTGCTATTTTAAATGGCAAGTTATGTAAAGGGGATTTTTTTGCAGCCATGTTAAGTGGCATCAATTCACTTTTGCTGAGATTTAGTTTATACCCTGATATGTGACCGAAGGATGCGAAAGTGGCAAGGGCAGCAGGGACAGAGACAGAAAGATTGGATGTGTATATTAATAAATCATCTGCATATAAAGACAGTTTGTGTTCGTGCCCGTATCTGACTATGCCTTTGATGAGGGGGTTGGAGCGAAGTGCTATTGCAAGTGGCTCTATGGCGAGGGCAAACAGTAAGGGACTTAAAGGGCAACCCTGACGTGTCGATCTTTGCAAAGGGAAGCGATCTGATTGAGTGTTATTAGTCCTGACAGAGGCTTGGGGGGATGAGTACAGAAGTTTTATCCAGGTCATGAATTTGGAGCCAAAGCCAAATTTATTTAGAGTGTAAAAAAGGTATTTCCATTCCACCCGATCAAACGCTTTCTCCGCGTCCAGGGATATAATGGCTTCAGAGGTATTGTCGACAGAAGGATTGTATATAATATTAAATAATCTTCGGAGATTGAAGAATGAGTGTCTATTTTTTATAAATCCTGTTTGATCCGGAGAGATAATTGATGGGAGGACTGTTTCTAGCCGCGTTGCCAGAATTTTGGCTAGAATTTTATAGTCCACATTTAGCAGGCTAATTGGACG